CCTCAAGACTTTGGTAGAGAACAATAAATAAATCTCAGAAAAACCTACTGATCTTCAATTCCTTCTATTTCTTATTTCTTTTTCTAGTGAAACTTGTTTTAGTTGTCTAAAAATATCTAGTTGAGACTGTGATGACCTGTACGTCACGTGGTTAGGCAGGCCTACTTCCCACAACACAAATCCTTGTATGATAGTGTTTCTCCCCCCATAGTTGAATTCAGTTGGAAACGCTACCATATCTAGCTTTCTACTGTGGAATAGCTATCTATGAATGAGCAGTCATCACAGAGACTACACTTTTTTATAAAGAGTGAAGTCTTTTGATATAAAAGTCCCACATTACTAAGTCACCAGAGCTCCCCCGATAGGCTTAGCGCTACAACTAGCGCCTTTTCCAGGGCTTTAGTCTCCAAATGTCCATCCATGTCATGTCTTTGTTGAAAAATCCCCGGCCTCTCTTCCCTTTTGACAGGCCTTTTCTTGCGCAGGTTTTGCATAATTTTTTTTTTATTTCTAGCTCTATCTCGACAAGCCTGTCAAGATGGTTATCGATTTGACCCAGGATTCTGACTCCGACGACCAGATACGCTCCCAGGTAAGTTTTTAGTGGTTCTAAGACCTGGCCTGGCAGACCTGGGACCTGTTGCCACTGTCAACAATCTATGCCTCAGCCAACAACAGCTACCCAGAATGGCGCACATTATTATCGATTTCCCCTTTGTTCGTTCCTTTCTAAGGGCCATTTTGAATTGCAACCTTGGATTGAGATTTACATATCTTGACTTCTCTTTCTTTTATTCTCTGTGCTTCAAAAACCCCAAGCTTGTACTATCAAATGAATCTCTGTTACATCTCTCAGTTTCCTTTCACTTCTTTTATTGACCTCAAATATTTCGCCCGAGCTAATTCCACCATAGCGGAACCGAAATACTCACTCAATCATACCGACATTTTTCTCCCATCTAACTCATCGAACATCTTCGTCACTATCTCTGGTCCCTTCCAAGAGAAAGTCGGAGGGGAGCCTCGACTTAAATCTGGAAAATGTCCCTCTCAAGAGAAATTCTTCATCTGTGGCATCTGAGCGTCATCAAAGCCGTAAGCTCAACGGCTATGGCGTAACAAAGCTCCAGCCTAGTACCCCAAGCCCCAGCCCAGCAACACAGCCTATCAGTGTGGTTGTCCCTTCTCCTTCTCGCCAGTTAAAGAGGGAAATAGAGGCCGCAGAATGGGCGCTGCCCTCTCGTTTGACTCGGCCTTTTAGTCCTGAAGAGACAGGACTCTCCCAAAAATACTACCCCACTGATGCACATGAGAAGCGTGTTCGCAAGGGTATGTATCCCGCAGCAAGGAAAGTTAACCGTGATGCGATTCCTCTGCCCATTGCCAAACCTGGCCCCATCTTGTTGAAAAAGCCAGCGGCCCGTGATCAGCTCTATCGCACGTTGGAGCGCAAGCTGTCTATGATCAAGGGGCCTCCTGTCACGTTTGCTCCGGGTGATGGGTTCAAGCTGGCCAATGTCACGTCTAACTTTGAGTTCGTTAATAGCTATAAGGTTCGCAAGGGGGTCTCACCTGCTCCATCTGAATTCATTGGGGGTTGTGGGTGTAGTGAATACTGTGACCCTAAGACGTGCCTGTGTTCTGAACGGGAGGATGGCTCCACTATTAACATCATTCCTTACCAACAAGCTAAGGATCGCCCGGATATTCTAGTCCTCACCCCCGAGATCTTGAAGCGTACGATAATGATTGCTGAATGTGGTGCGCTATGTGCCTGCGATAAGAACTGCTGGAACCGGGTCGTCCAGCGTGGTCGGACCGTGAAATTGGAAATTTTCGACACCGGCGTTCGTGGCTTTGGTAGGCTCTCTACCATCCCTTATGCTTCAACAGAAAAGCATAATAGTAACGGTATAGAACAGGTCTTCGGTCTCCTGAGTACATCAGAGCAGGCCAATTCATCGACTGTTATCTGGGAGAGGTCATCACCAAAAAACACGCAGATGTTCGTGAAGAGATCGCCCTGAAGAAAGGCCATTCCTATCTCTTCGGCCTTGACTTCTCTCCCGAAGTCGAGGAGGACGACATGTATGTTGTGGACGGCGAGAGGTTCGGTTCCGCCACTCGCTTCATGAATCACTCCTGCAAGCCCAACTGTCGGATGTTCCCTGTCACGCACACAATCGGTGACTTACGTTTCTATGACTTGTCTTTCTTCGCCCTGAAGGACCTCCCGCCCATGACTGAATTGACTTTTGATTATAACCCCGGCGGAGAACGAAGCAAACAAGTCGACCCCAATGCCGTCCCCTGTCTGTGTGGAGAAGACAATTGTCGCGGCCAGCTCTGGCCGAATCAGCGAAAGGGCACTAAGTAGTTCTTTTTTTGGGGCTATTCACCTCCCACCTCTCACCTTACACACTTATCCATTCGTCTTTCTCTCTCATATCCACTTTCTATCCCCCTTTTATGCCATGTTCTCAGGCCTTTGTACCATACGCAATGCATCCGAGGTGTCTAGTTTGCATCTGGAGCGTTTTGCGCAACACCTGCCGTTTCAGCGTTGATGAGCGAACTGATACCCTTTGTCTTTCCCTGCACATTTCCACTACTCTATGGGACGAGGCAGGACTTCTTCCCGACATAATTGACTTCCCTTACCTTTGCAAGGTGGGATAGACTACTCAATACTCTGTTCTATTCTAAGCTATTCTCTTTTCTTCTACCCCGGACTGTATTCTATACTACTGCAACTTTCATATTGGGCCTTGGGTGGGTGTTTTGTTGCCCGCAGCCGTGATCGAAGGATACCTCTGTACCTTTACAGCAGTATCATTTGACTCTGCATGATCTTGGACTTACTACTAGTGATTACATTGAAAAATTCAATGATTGATCCTAACTTACAGGAGAGAATCGCTTTATTCACAAGAACAATCAATGTAAACCTGAACATCCGTGAAAGAACCATAGTATATCCATCATGGATATGAATCTAAACGCAATAACACCACTGAATCACTTCTATATTCAATCGGTAGACGCCGCTGACCGTTGACCCCAAACTCCAAAACAACCTATCAACCCAGTTGATTATACAGACACCTTGTTCCGAATATGCAGCAAGATAACCACCCTTGAATCGCTAATTAAATATACCAAGTCGCTCCATCGGTAGCAACGAGTAGAGCCAAGAAGATGAAGAAAGAGCCGAGAAGAAGAAAAAAAAGAAAATAAGGAGAGCATGTTATGCGCGCCCCTCCATCACTTCGAATATACCACCCATGACGAACCTCGGCTGGGACATTCGCGACGCTTGACTTTGTGCTGACGACCGATCGCCCGCCACAGAGGAGAAGATATTCGCGTTCAGATCCATTGGGATCTCGACCGGGTCGACGGGGCGGGGCTCCATGAGGTCGAGACCCTGTCGTTCGATGGCGTCTCCGTCACATCGGGAGCGTTCCTCGCTCAGGGCTAGATCGACCTTGGACAGACGATGGCGGAGAAAGACGACGGACGGACGACGGAAGACAGAAGACAAGCGAAACGGGCTCTGGCTCCGACTGCTGGTGTCGGACCTGGAGTCGGAGGTCGGGCGGTAACCACGGTTGAAGCGGCGGAATGGAGAGGTGGGCGACGAAGTGGGACTGTTAGTAGTGGAGCTGAGAGGGCTGGCCGAGGAATAGCCGTCGCTGCATGCGCGGTCATGAGGAGGTTGGAACGAGGTGTGAAGGGAGAGGCCGGGAGTAGAGGGGAGGTTGGAGCGCATTTTGGTGGGAGTAGATCAAGTCTTCGGGGGAAATGGCGTGGTTAAATGTGATCTGTAGAAATTCGATGGTGCTGTATCGACTATGTGTGATCGATGGGCTCCAGTCACCCGGAAACCTGAGGTGGAGCTCAGATTTCAACGATGTTTCGAAGAAAGAAAACAATCCAGGCCAGTTAGTTGCTGACTTGGACGGGCGTTCGTATTTGTGTACGTGTATGTGACAGGTAGAATGAATAAAATGGTCGCTAGACGGGATATCTGACCATAGGCTGTGGTTGATGAACCGTGGAAACGGGTAAAAGATCGCAAGTATTCGGTAATGGAAAAACGAAAGGATTCGGTCACTGCAGCCAAAAAAAAAACGAGGGACGGTGGACTGCTGTATGAGTGATAGTGAGATCGACAGCTCGGGACGGTAACTCTTGTCACAAATGAATAGGAATAGACGTGAGAGATTGATGGACGGATGAAACAACCACAAGTCTGAGAGAACTCCGTAGTAATCGATCAACAAATAAATACTGGCGAGGGAGAGACAGGATGACAAGAAAGAGGGAGAGGGAGAGGGAGAGGAGAGGGAGACGAGGGATGGGATAGCGCAGGAATAAGAGAATCCTTTATAAACGGACCAAGGACGAGGCCGATCGGAGGATTTCCATCATCAGTCAATCTTTAATAACCCATCGATCGGAAATGGCCTGCAAGGATGGAGAAAAGCAGCTCGTGAACTAGTAATTAATTAGCCAACTCCTGCGCTCAGTTAGTCAATAATTCATTAAAAATATGCTGGCGGAGAGATTGATAGGAATTGTCCATGCGTAGTGGACGAACGCAGCGCGAATGGGATTGTTGATCCATCATTTTCATCTGCCTGATTTTGATTTCATCAATCTCATAGTAAGTAGTCTCTGGGGAAAGTGAAGGCAAGTCTGCAAACGGTCGATGATCGTCTGCTTGGCGAGTCATCCCCATTGCCGTTTCCGTCATGAAAGATCGAAAGGGGAAAAACAAGCAAGCCGAATAACTAACTAACTACCCCCAGTGAGAGGGAGAAAGACGAAAGGCAAAAAGGTACAGAAAAGGTACAGAAAGACCTGTTAACAGTATGTTGGCTGTTGGGAAGGGAAAGGGGGGATGAAAGGTGGAAGAACTATTGCTTCTTAGTGACTATCCTATTCCCTAATCCGGTAAACCACCTCCCCTTCAAATCACTTCACCTCCTTCTTGTCCTCCTTGACACATATATCAAAGAAAAAAAATTATAGAAAATATATACTCAATCATATACTACATATGTCCTCTGTGTTCATCTAATCTAACGGAATCAATCATTTCTCCCTCACGCCACCGCTATGCAATTACCCAAGTCTAGTGGATATAGAATATGATATCTGTACAGGTCTTACATCCACAAAAAGAAAAGAAAAAATAATATAAAAAAAAATAACAGGAGCCCCCGTTATACATGGTCCACATTACTCTGCAAAATTCATGACAACATGACTCATATCCCAGTCGGCATCTCAGCTATCCCGTCGGCGACGCTGAGTGAAGCTACGCCGGATACTTTCACCCCATGCGGAGTCATCCAACGATTGCATCACGTCCCGTGCGTTCATCGTACTGTCCTGTCGCGAATTCTCCGAAGCCACAGAAAGTTCATCATGCAGATCTGGCCCGTCACCGTATGACGAGGTTGTATGCGCTCGAGCACGGTTTGGCGAGAGGGACGGACTGATGCTGGACCACTCGGTAGATGAATTCGCCGCCGATATCCGTCCGGCCAAAGCAGTGTCAATTCGTGGAAGAGGACCCAGCTGCGACGATGGGCCAGCTTCCCCTGGTGTAGGTGAGATGGGTGATAGCATGGGCTGCGATGACGGTTCCCCACTGGCCATATCGGGGTCTGGCGTTCTCGCCCTCGCTTTCGCATCCTCTTGTGGATGGTCGTCCTGGGATCCGTCGTCCACAAAGATCTCTGGGACCGTGAATTGCGGTACAGCGGTCATCCGAGCGGACCTGTTGCGCTCAACTTGTCGTCGGAATTGTCGTGACCAGTAGAGAGTGTCGAAGAACCCAATAACCGTCTGGCGACGAACGGCTTCTTCGACGCGCTGTAGCCGTGCACGTCGTCGCAAGAACTCTTCGAGCTTTAAGCTTTTACTGTCATTGATCACATTGTGATGAGCAAGGATCATAAGGCACGAGTCAAATGAGATGCCGCGCACTGGATCCGCGGACACCAGGACTTCCTCATAGAAGGTGTTGAGCCGCTGCCGTCGCTCGCGGACCTCGTCGAGCGGGATGCGTCGCAAAATCTTGGCCATCTTGTCAAGGTCTACCCCATCGACCACTCTTCGGTGCGCAAGCAGCGAGTCCCTCCTATCGACTTTACACTCCTCTAAGATACGTCCGATTGTGAATTCGTCATCATAAATGCGCATCGAAAACACACCCGAGAGCTCCTGTGAACCGTTCAGTGATTTGGCTGGGGGGTTAAAGGAGACGAAAAAGAAAAGCCTTGAATGAAGGGGTGAAAAGACAAGCAACTTACTCCTAGTAGTCTTGGGAACTGTTCTTTTGAAATATACCCAGCCCCTTCGGGATCATAGGTCGCCCAGGCTTGCTTGAAGCGGCGAATTTCTTCACGACTAATCGCATAGAGCCCGCTGCTTCTCTGGTACACGTATGAAAAGCTTTCGAAGATCAGTGACACAAACAAAGAGACGAAAATATACATGCTAATGATGTTCCATGCAATGAAAAGCGTTCGAGCCCATGCCGCGCTGCCACAGTCGTCCTTCAAGCCAGCGTTAGACGTACAGAATGGCGGCTCCATCGTGGCAAAATCTTCCATGACTTCATTCCACCCTTCGCCGCAACTCATTCGGAAGAGCAGGATGAGCGATCTTGGGATATCTCGGAAATTGACGTTATTATTTCCCTTTTCGCCAAATTTGGTAAGACCAAACGCTTGGTTCAGCGCAATCGCGAAGACAAGGAATAGGACCAGCCAAGTGGCGAGGAGATTACCAATTGATGTCAAGCTAGCCGCGGCTGTCTTGAAAAGCTGATCAAGTTGATTGTTCCGTGGGATGATCAAGAGGGTAATAGCCACCAGGAACAGTTTGCTCAGCTCCACAATGACTTGGCGATTCGATATAAAATTAAGAATTGTCATCACGATGGTACCGGGGATCACGAGTAATGAATACAGGTCCCAAGAACTTCTACTGAATCGATGCCAGCCTAATCCGACAAGCCGGATAATGAGATTCGCGGCGTAGAAGAAGTTGAATACGAGAAACAACGCGTCTAGAAGACGGACAAACCCCGAGTCAGTAATGAATAGTTGCTTCCTCGTATACCTGGCTCGGTGACTTACCTCTACAAAACTCAAATATGAAAGGTTCCGGGTAGTATTCCAAAACTAGTAATAGGATATGAAGCACAAGGATTGTGGTCACGCATCTTGCCCATCGCCCATGTTTTTTGACGGCGATACGATAGCACCACAGCTGCCACTTCCGGGTCTTCTTGTCAAATGAGCGTTTGGAAGGAGATACCTGTCGGAGAAGCTTCCTCAATTCCAGCCAAGATCGCTGTTCAGCAGTGAGAAACGCGACACCGGTTTGCTCAGTGTAATTCCGCATGAAGACGGATACGAAAAGCGTCAACACAAAGACAGCACCGAGCAAGTTGAACACAACGAAAAACAGCCCATTCTCCGGAGCCGCCGAATCCTGCGGCTGCATGCCGGCCCCAGTGATTTTCATTGCACTTGACTGCACATCTGTCCATCCTTCTTGGGAGACAATCTGGAACAGTATGAAAAGAGAGTCGCCGAAATTGTCAAAGTCATAAAATGGATTCGAGGCGGCCCGAGGTGCGAGTACATCCCAGTTATAGGGCGAGCTGGCATACTCATTAACACACGAGTCCAAGCTACCTGTCACGTCGCCATCATTGCACGAAACCATCTGTCCGGCAAAAAGGTTGACACCATAGATAGCGAATGGTATCAGAAAGCTCATCGAGACGGCAGCAGCTTCTATGACCTTCCATCCTCCCACAATGATAACCGAATGGAACGTATCTTTGGCGCTATCACTGACATTCAGTAATCTAAGCGCCCTAAGAGCTTTGACGGCCCCAACGGCTCGCGAGACAGCCCAATCTTTATAAAGAGCACTCCCAACGTTGATCCAGAGAGTAATGAGCACAACTCCATCAATAAAGCCCCATGAGCCGCGAAAGTAGGCGTTTGGAGTCCAGTAAAACCCATCTGCAATGACCTTGATAAGGGCTTCGACTGTGAACAAGATGGCGAAGCCCATATCAGTGTAAATGAACCACTGCCTATTTGAAGGGTAGTTCTCAAGTTGATAGATTGGTGTGGCGATACATGCGATGAGAACCATAGCGACAATGGCCGCATAGACGAACGCAGAGAATGCATACCAGACAGGTTTATAAGGGTCCACGCCTTCGATGCGTTGATTACCACGCCCAGGTCCCACAATGCGTTGGCACAGCCTCCGGATAGGGTTATCTGGTGCAAAGACAAATAAAGATTTGTTGTAGTTTGGATGTCTCATGAGATACTCCCTCTGAGCTCGCTTCCTTTGTTCCGCAGCCGACACGACCTCCTTAGCCATTTCCCTGGGGTCCAACTCTTCATTTGCCCGAGAAAATTTATTCAGATTGGTATAAAATGGGTTCGGTTCTTTGCGCATGATCGACGTCGAGACGGAAGTCCACATGCGCGAGAACAAGCCCGGCTGGCCGGTCTCCTCCGTCGCTGTGGTCTCCTGAGGTCCGCCTTCGCTCCGTTGATGTTCTGCAGGCGCTTGCTGCTCGTCGAGGAACTCTTGCACAACAGCATCTTTTAACAGCATCTCTAGTGCCGCCGGCCCATGGTCCAGGGGTTCCTTGTAACGGTCTGAGTCTCGGCCCAACCGAAGAATTTTCGAAAGGGAGAGGTTCCCTTGTGAAGACCCATTGACCTGTTTCTGTTTCAAGAATGCTCGTACTTGTTGGAGTCGTTTTTCATCTTCTGACACATCGAAACTTTCTTGTATGACGGCAATGAACATGTTTAGAACGATGAAGTTTGCCACGATGAACCACAAAATCATGAAAGTTGCAGAAATCCAGGCAGTCCGAAAGGGGTAAGTGTATGAAGTTACGTTATATAGAATGTCTGTCCAATTCTCGCTGGACAGTACTATATACATCCCAAGAAACGAATTATATATGTTGTTAAAGTTGGTATCAACATCGTCTCCTTCAGGAATCGAACCGCGAAATAGCTGCGTTGCAAATATGGAGGCAATAAAAGTGATCATAAACAAGAAAGCTATCAGGTTTAGCAAACCAACGGTGTTCCGGAAGACGACCGTGATGAGGTCCCTGGTGACCGAAAACGCTAGCACCACGCGGTATACCCGCAGAATTTGGAAGAGAGTGAGGACAGTATATGGTCGCCCCGAACCCCTAATAACTGGAAGCTGGATGATACAGGTAATGACCACGAGCCCTAGGTCAACCCAGTTACGACGCTTCTTGTGGAATTTGCGCCAATCCGAGGCGAAACGCAAGATAATCTCAGCAAGCAGAACAAGCGTCACAATGGTTTCCGTGTTGTCAATAAAGTCTCTTCGGTCATCGGACATGGAGGAACTTCTCAACGCTTGGACAACTAGGTCAAATATAATGATACAGACCCAGAGCCACTTAGTCTTGCTATAAAGGCGTTTGAGAGTGCTCATCTTGCGAGGGTCATGGTTTTCCTTTTCAACATTGTCTAATTTCTGAACAGCGAAAGCGCTCCGTTTACTCTCTTCTCTGATGACCTGGAAAGAATGTGTGATCACGGCGACTAACAAGTTCACCAACCACAGGCTTAGAATGATGAATCCGCATATGAAAAAAAGGGAAGCTGCGAGATAATCACTGTCTGTTGTATAGTAAAGAAGGTCGGTGAACGTGTTTGAGCTCATGATAACGAACACAAGCTCCAACGAGTTGAGAATATTATCAAAGTTCATAGTCCCATTATAAGGCATGTCATTTTCAATGCATATAGAGCCCGCAGGGCAAAGGTAGCCCTTGGCTGAAGCCGTAGTTTTGGGGTTACCAGATCGTGGAACCCAAGGATGTTTCTCGCCGGTAGTTTCATTGATATAACCCCCGCAAAACTGAAGGGTACCAGAAGCATCATTCAGAGCAAAATCTTCTTGGCCATCCTTACCAATCCAAAGACAAGTTCTCTGGAGACTGGATTTAAAGCTTTGTATTCCCACAATAGCAAAGAGGAGCCAGAAAAACCCTATGAGAAACGCAACATGGGCCAGCAGGGGAGCTGCTTTTTTAAGGCTTCGAAGAATAACCTATCTATATGTGAGCAATTGTTTTAAGAGGTATAGTAGAATTCCGGCTCACAGAAGTGCCATTAGTCAAGGCGAGAAGACGCAAAAGCCGAAGGCAGCTGAGCATGCGGAAAACATAGAGCTGCTGACGACTCTCCACCCCTTCTATCGCAAGGAAGAAAGCTATCCAATAGGCTACTACAGCCACAAAGTCAAGACGATTGAAAGAATGTCGGAGGAAAGCACGGTGAGCGAGTCGCTCGCGACGTTTCTGGAGAGGGTCATCAACTATCTGCCGTTCAATTTGATTCAAGCCGCCTGTAAAAGTCCGTATGATTGACGCTTGCGGGTGTTCTGGAGCAGTTGACGGCCTCCTCGTAGAGAACTGTCGTTGTGGGGTAATAAGATTCTTTCCTTTTTCCATAAATGCTTTTCTATACCCCAGAGATCGATCTATGGTACTGTATTCGGCTGGGTTGAGGATGAACCCAGACACCAGTATCTTGGCGATAAGTTCAAGGGTGTAAATAATAAAGATGACAAAGTAAGAATAGTCCATTGGATTAGCTCCCCATCGCTCAGACCTTGTATATGCGGGACGTGCCGACTCGATGGTGAGTAAGATCATCTGGATGATAATCACTACTAGAATGAAAAGTTCTGAGAATGATTGGACAAGCAGATCGCACAACCTCACTCGAATAGGGTTATTCGGGCCCAGGATTCCGAGAGCCTTCCCTCTCAACGGGTTGTTATGATCTCTCCATTTTGCTTGGCTGTCCAGCGACGAAGTAGATGGTGCATCATGAGCATAATCCGGTAGCGATGGGAGAGAAGGAGGCGCATCTAGCCGCGCGCTCTTCTGTGACTCCTCTCGTAGGATCGACTGTTCAACCACTTCAGGCTCGTTACTCAGATTGACGACACGCTGAGACATTGACTTCATCATCGAACTAGCACGTTGCAAAGCGGAGCCTGACGCCGATGGTGACAGTGAGCGAGCCCTGTCTGCGCCACTACTGCCGCCGCGACGCCTTCCACTGAATCCGCTCTCCAAATCATCTCCTAGGCGCGACCCCGTAGGGAAGTGAACGGTTCGAGCGCTACTTCGATCATCTTGTGGAAGGCTACGCGAGCTAGACGCTCCACTTATAGGTTGAATGTTGTGGGTATCCGTTAATGGTGTGGTGTCGGCGAATGAGTTTGGTGAAAGGTAATGCTCTGCTTCTTGCTGTCCAAAAGTATCTAAGCGTACGACGTCGAAGTCGGAGCCAGCATCATCACGGCTGTATCTCACCGAAGTTCTTGCACTTGATGGACCGTCGAAACTGAGTCCGACCGAGGATATCGCCTGAGCAAATGCCTCTGGATTTTCGACTGGGGCGGCATCTGAACCTCGGCGCCCCCGTGCATTTTGTGTCGCAGTTGTGTCTTCAACGGGGGAATCCACAGCTACCCTCTCATAGTCACTCGTGCGCCTGGTCAGAGACCGCCCGGGGCGTAAATTGGTCCTAGCATTGCCTGTTGTATCATGCGATAACGGTTCAGACAAATCTTGTAAGGGAATTGAGTATTCGGTAGGATGACTATCGACATTGGTGCCGCGGTCATGGCTATTCGAAGCCATCGTAGGCAGGATCGGTCAGCTAACCGAACGCAGACATCGCAGACCGCAAGAACTAAAGTGGTGAAATGTGTTTGATATGTCGTGGGTATAAGAGCGTTAAATTGCGCTGAAAACCTGCGCGCGGTGGGACTCTGTTTATGGGAAAGCCGACGGACTTTCTTTTCTTAAAAAAGAAGGTACCAGCTGCAGGGGCTTGGATGAAACGTCAATAATAAAACCCAATCAATCAGAGGTCTTCCAGACATGCGTAACGGACATAACAGGACAAAGAAGAAATAAGTCTAATACAGGTACTGGACAAGTGGTCGACTCCAGATTCCCAATTGCACAGCATGCGCGGCGGAGCTCCGGCTTTGACTTGTTGCGCCCAAGCGGCCAGACTGGGGCGGCTTCGCTGCTGTGATTGGCTAAGCTACACTGAGTGTTCAGCTGGAACCACGAATTATGAAAATAAACGTCCGAGCCTTATGGCGTTCCAACCATAATTTTGCCATTCGTAGAACCAAACTTCGAGGTATATATATATATATATACTAATCAATTGTATGACCTTCTAAAACGGTGATTTCCATTTTTTTTTAAACTATTTTGTTTCTTCTTATCAATCTTTCAACTCTATAATATCAATCTCTGGTCTTTTTAACTGTCATGGAACTCTCCCTCCAAGAGCAATAATTACAGTACCAAACGAAAACTGATCTTGAAATGTGGCCAAATTACGGCGTTGCCTAACCGGTGGTCCCGCCAATACCCAAAAATAACTCTAATGCAAGATAACTAGACTATTATTAATCTCAGACACCATTATTATTCGATCGTCCTCTTGACAGCACCTCTTACTATAGTTTAGATTTGAAAAGAGAAACATTCGATGGGTACTAACTCCTCATCAGGACCTCCTTAAAGTGTCCATACTTAACATGCTCAATATTTATCCAATCCGATCCAATTCAATTCAATCGGTCTCCATCTGGTTTCCCTGATCCGAGTCTTTAACATGATCCCTAACGCCTTGGAGAAAAGCCTCAACAGCGTCACCACTGCCTAACGGAACTCCTCCTCTACGCATAAACCCTCCATTCGCAACCGGGATTTTGAGGGCCTCACTAATGCTCGGTAATCCGCCATCTCTGATCGCCACCGTCAAACTTGCAAGGCTCTGGGTGAATTGAGGCGAGTGTAGGACTTTTCTAAGGATATTTTTTTTTTGTGAAAGGTCGAGGGATGCCATGACGGCCTCGGTCAGCTCAGGGTCATCAACAGAAGACACGTCCTCTACATCTTGTGCCAAGAGGAGTAATGCAGGCGGTAAAAAGCTCAAGAGATTATCAACAGTCTTATCATCCGCAGACTCTAGGAAAGGAAGCGTAGTCGCCGGTGGAAGAAGATCTTGCAGAGTAGTAAATGGTCTGTCAGGGTCCTGGGACTGGGACTGGGTCGAATTCCTTTGTAAAGATTGCAAAAAGCTCTGCACAACAGAAGAGGGATCTGAATCAGCTGCTGCCCTGTAAGATCACAAGCGAGTCAGCCGATATTCAAGATCCAGACGTTTAAAGAAGGGGGACGTTTAAAGATATGTGAGTGTGTGTGTGAGAATTTCGTAAAAGGGATACATTATATCCCAAAGAAACAGAATAAATAAGCGGAGTTAAGCTGGGAACGTAAACGGTAGAAGTATGTACCTACGCTCTTCCACCATCGGCACCACCCTCCCGCGATTCCTCGCCTTCTTCCCTGATATCTCCCCCAGTTGCATCCGGACCGGCACCTCCACTGTTGCCACCGTGGTTATGGTTTGGGTTATGGTCCACACCCTCAACATCCTCCATGGTCTCATCATCGTCACCACCAGACGGACCTCTGGGGAGGTTCGCAATTTCATGCTCCACGTCAATATCTTCACCCTGAAGTAGCGTGTTGATAATGTCTCCAAGCTTGAGATCTCTGGGGCTGAACCAGCTAGCATCTCCCCTCTCATGTTGAGACTTAGACTGTAGCCAGAAAAGATACCGTTGAGAGCTGGAGGAAAACTTCAAGACATAAATCCGACCGTTCGTAGGATTTGCATTTCCGGCTGGCTTGTAGGGAGTGAAGCTTCCGTCCGATGGGACCATCACCAGGTCCAATTCGGGCTCCGTGTGGGGAGCAGACCGAGGGCGCCAACAAAAGTGTACTAGCTCATCTTCCGAGTAGAGATAGATATAACCTGGGGTAGGTTTTGGCTTAACTGTGGAGGATGCCTACCAAATCATATCCGGTGAGTAAAATGAAGATAAGTGAATGAGCGTGGGGGAGGTGTTCAAAAGTTAGAGCTCAGAGAGGACACTCACATCCAAGTCACAGATACCTGCTTTGAACGTAATGATCGGAGTTATAGACATGATCGAAGATTAAGCCACCGTCAATAGGAATAATGATTAAGAGAGAGAATGAAAGGTATTGTTTGTTTATGAGTTGAGATGAGAGTTTCGACGGTCCACTGTTGGGAGTTAGGGAACGTGGAATGCCGACGAAGTCAGATTGAAGCAAAGATACGTCAGTTACCAATGTTTAGAGAAGGGTATTGGAAGGGAACTAAGCTCCGTTACGCTTCTGGTCTCTGTGCTACACCCCAGAGTCTCTAAAGGTGTGTTCATCTTTAGTCAGAATTTTTCACACCTCAGGCATCAAGGCGGTGACTCCCAAAACTCAGCCCAATTCGGCACTAGCGTCTTTCGGCTCGAGCCCTAACGCACACACTCTCCCTTCGCACTTTCCCGCCTAGGCCGCGAGTAGTCTCATCAACTCCAACAATCACCCGCCGTCGACAACCACCACCACCCCCCTCCCTTCATTCTTTTCACCCTCCTTCGTCCCCAGCAGCCAATATGTCGGACTCTACTGTTGGCCAGACGAAGCAGTTTGGAAAGGGCCAGAGGACCGTGCCGGCCCAGAAGGCCCAGAAATGGTACCCCGTTGATGACGAGTCGCAGGTCAAGAAAGTCAGTACACCCTTATGCAAAAATGCTAGAAATGATTGGTGAAGGAGATGCGGTTTCTTATGAACGAGTGCGACGATTGCGCCGGTCAATGAGCCATGTTGTGATTTGGAACAAGACCAGTGACTATGGAACCTAAGTTGATAAGGAAATCGCATCTTTCGCACTATCTTCAACATTCCGGAAATTGCATGTGTTGCGGGAATACAAGAACAAGCGCTCTGACATATGGTTATTTTTCTGTCCAAACAGGTCCGCAAGGCTATTCGTCCTGCCAAGCTCCGGGAAAGCCTCCAGCCTGGTACTATCCTGATCCTCCTCGCCGGTCGCTTCCGTGGCAAGCGTGTTGTTCTCCTCAAGCACCTTGACCAGGGTGTCCTCCTCGTCACCGGACCCTTCAAGATCAACGGTGTTCCCCTTCGCCGTGTCAACTCCCGCTACGTGATCGCCACTAGCACCCGCATCGACATCAGCGGTGTTGACGCTCAGACCCTCGAGAAGGTCGCTACTCCCGACTACTTCACCAAAGAGAAGAAGGCTGAGAAGAAGACCGAGGAGGCTTTCTTCAAGCAGGGAGAAAAGCCCGAGGTACGTGAACCGCGCCAGTCAGCCTGGTTTTTTTTTTTTTTTTTTTTTTTTTTTGATAAATCTGGGCCTGCGACCACTCGGTAAGATTGCTTTTTGTGATGCTAACTCGGAATACCTTAACAGAAGAAGAAGGTTGCCAGCGCCCGTGCCAGCGACCAGAAGGCCATCGACCAGTCCATCCTGGCCTCCGTCAAGAAGGAGAACTTCCTTGGTAGCTACCTCGCCAGCACTTTCAGCCTCCGGAACGGTGACAAGCCCCACGAGATGAAGTGGTAAGCGTGTGACGCGGCGGCCGCGGGTTCGGTAGTTATTGTGGAGGACTTCTGTGAGGGGCGGCTAGAATGCAGATTGGCATTCCCAGTGTGGAAAGCGCTTGCAGCGCAGGAGGAACAGCTCATGAAATATGTAACTCGAGTCGGACTCCGTCTTTATTCTTTAAGATTACGGTCAATTCGGAAAACTGGTTGTTATTTTCTTTCACGAACAGTCCCTCCTGTGTGGCCAATCTGCAGGATCTATAATGAGCCGAAATGAAAAGAAAAAAAGAAGAATACCTTTTCCAGCTGTTATATGTTCCCCCTTTAACGTGCGGCTGGGAGTCTGTCATGTCTAGTATGATACACCGTCAATTTCCAGGTTCGGGTGACAATCTAAAATTGGGAATTCAAGTTTATGTTAAGATTTTACTACCTCGGCATTTTAGATGCAAGCGTCTATATATTGATCTGTAGCGATCTACGGTTCGCCACGTTTTTGTGGCAGTGAGTGTTCCAGGTTTCCAAAGCGACTGCGATTGAAATGTGCCCAAGACAATTACCGAAACTATCATTAATTCCATATGCTAATATCCATTTTGCCTGAAGCGCCGTATACACAAAAAATCATAACCAGAACCCATCACTCGCCATTGGTTAGGGCACATACCCCAGCCTTCTAGAACGTGGACCCATATACATCGCATCTCGCATCGCAACCCTAATAGTCATTCCTCCGCCTCCTTAGCTTATACCGTTCACCCCTCCTTTTCCTCGTAGACTCCTCGATCGCCCGTCTGATCTGCTCATCAATCATCTCCTTCTCAGTCAACGCCTCTTCCAATTCCTCCTCATCCTCATCGCCCACCGTAGTCCCACAAATCCAATCGAGGATCCCCCACGGGCCAAAATTCCCTTCCGCCCCACTCAGCAAATGCATATCCATTCTGCGGGCAATTCCACCCAGGAAAAAGCTCGTCGGCATAACCGAGTACCCGGAGAAGGCGAACGTTTCCTCAATCGATATAACAGCGAGATAAAGCAGGTACGAGAGCATGTGGAAGCGGAAGAACATGGCGGGCAGGTAGGTCGGGATGAAGTTTGAGAGGAGGTAAGCGACGGGGTGGTCGTAGTGAGCCGTGAGGGGGAACGGGGCCCGGAGCGAATGATACCATTTTCGGTGGTATTGGGAGACCTGGTAGTCTGGGGAGTGGAGGATGAAGCGGTGGATATTGTAGGCTAGGATCTAATTGCGACGATGAAAAGTGTTAGTTTTATCCGCATTCTTTCTTTCCTTGTATTGTTTTTATATTCTGCATACATAGAAACATAAACTCACTTCTCGTGCTAATAGCCCTCGGAGTAAATCTTTCACCATCTCCCACGGCATCGGCAGTTTCATCGATACTCTTAGTGCACTCCGCATCCCGAATATCTCTGTCCGCACCTCTTCTATTACTGCCTGTGCGGCGAAGCTCAGCCCGATGTTCAGAATGGCCCATCCTGCAACCTTGAGATCCTTCATTCGGACTCTGCCCCGTTTACTCCCCGCCGGGAGACCAGATTCACCCTGCGCCTTGACCACCACCGCGGCAGAGGGAGTCAGGATATCGAATAGGAAGAAAAGAACAGACGGGAGTAGGTAGAAGATCAAGCGGACGGCTGCGGAGCCGAAGAGCTCGACTCGGAGCGGAGGGTGCGATAGCACGAGGGTCGTCCATGTCATGTAAAAGAAGATCAGGTTGAGACTCGTGCTGTAGGAGGATATTGTGGGGACGAGGAATAAGGAAAGGACTGGTAGTGAGAGGATCGCATCCATCGTGTGGAGTGTGGTGTGTGGTGTGTTGACCGCACTTTTGGTGGACGGTATTGGAATTTTTATGTTATGGCCTTATATGCTCAGTTTAGCATGCATTCTAGAGGTGTCCAAAAGAGTAACTAGAGTAATAGAAGGTAAATATAATGTGATATATGTTCAGTTAAGGGAAAATTCCCTGACATTGTGGTCAACATAAATTTATGGAGGTGGAATTGGAATCCGTTTGCAGCCTTAGCAAACGACGTCACACCCCCGGTCCACCTGCCAGCGTGGAAATGTCGGCCCTAATTTTGGCCTAATGTTGCCTAAGACAGTGCAACCACACAACTTCATCATATCATCCCTCGATCATTAAAAACATCTAGAATTATAAGGCGGTCATTCATACTTTATTTTTACGTTTCAGCCGTGCCCTTTTGTTTTTGTTTAGGGAGGAGAGATAGAACAAATTAAAAAAGTTTCGTGTAGTCTATAATTATATATTTACGCCTGTACAGATGAGCTGACCCTCTTACTTCCACCCAACATGCCAGGTAGCACTCTATGCAACAAAAGTCTTTCATTCTTGGGGCAGCGAACATGAGAGAAGCACGTGGCTAGCGTGGATCTAATGTAGGTACAGCCTAATAAAACAGGGCAGGGACAAGTCATACACAGGAACACTAATAGTATCAGGTACATATAAGAATAAGCAAATAGGGATGCTCATGGGTATCTAACCATACACCGGACAGCAAAACACCGCTCCTTACTCAGATTTAGGGGACGGGACGCCGTTCTTCGCACCCCAATTCCAGGCCTGCTTCCGGAGATCAGGAATCACCTGCAAGAATGCCAAGCTACTGAGCCAGCTGGTCAACGTATCGCGAATTGTATAGTTCCTTGGGCTGCCCCCCATGGCGGCTCCCTTCATCACATGACCAACAAACATAGTGGTGATTAGATATTCTCCCCTTTCCAGTGCTTTAATTGCGATGCTCGCAACCTCCTTCGGAGTTTGTGGCTTGTCAGCAGCCTCTAGTTGTTTTGTCAAATCGGGCTTCATCTTCTGTTCATTGTCAAAGCCAGGGCTGAGGATTCCCATCGGGAAGACGGTATGAATCTTAACGTCGGCAGGTGTAGCATCAATGCGCGACTTCGATTGACGCGTGCCGTTATAGATTTCAATCTCCTGATTAAGGGTGTCGGATAAAGAGCGGAGTGCGGCTTTTGCGGGCGAGTAAGGCCCGTACCCAGCAATCGGCACAAAAGCCAGTGTAGAACATGTAAAGACAAGATGTCTCCGCGGCATCGGTTTCTGCTCACTCGGAGCAACGGGCGCAAGCCACTTTCTGAGTGTCGCATGGGCGGTGTTCGCAGCAGTCCAATAGATCGTGTCCATCTGATCCCTGAGCGTTTGGACTGGAGTATCAATGAAGTATCCAGGATTGCAGTAGCCTGCGCAGCACCACACAACGTCAGGAGGCAGTCCATTGTTCCACTCAATGACCTCCTCAATGATCTGGTCGCATTGCGCGGCATTCTTAAGATCGGCACTGATGTAATAGAATCTTTGCCTATTCACATTCGCAGCAGACGCCTAGGGAAGATAAGCATCTGTAAACGTACTGTATGCACTCATGGCAGCTTTACCTTAATTTCATCCAGCGCTCCTTGAAGCTTCTGGACAGTGCGCGCAACAATGACAATATTCGCACCCTTTGCGGCAAGCTGACAGGCGACAGCCTTGCCCATACCCTCGGAACCACCGGTGATCACCACGGTCTACGAATTATAGAAATGATCAGTAATTTATTTGTGGGAGAGAAAGATACGATAACATACCCTGCCCTCCACGGCGAACTCATTTTTAGATCCGAAACGAAACATTTTGGTAACTGTGTAGAGGAAGAATCCGCAAAGAATGATCGAGACTCCCAACTTGGTGGGAGAGTCGTTAGGGAAATAGGACAGTACTTGATACATGGGGGAACGAATGATAAGGGACTAAGGGAAAGAGAAGGGGAGTTATACAGTCAGCAGAGGTAGTTTGTTTGGGTCAATTGGCCCTGCAGCTTCCTCTTTCAGTGACGTTGTCGATCATCAAGACCTGTCAAGACAAGATGTACACAACTACACAAACCATAGCAGTGGGGGCAGTTTTGAACCTGTAACAACCGGTATCCTTCATCAAACAGTGCAAACGCTGCCCACAACGGACTAGTTTCCCCAGGGCGGTGAGTATCACTCCCAAAATTTTATCGCGGAGTTTATCAATTCCGCAGGTTGTCGAGACGAAATCAATCTTTTCTATTTGACGCCCTCTCCAGAATTTATCATGGGGAAAAGAAAGGCTAGCGGTCGCCCAGCGGCTAGAAATGCGCCCGTCCAAGAACGTACAAAATTTAATATCGAGGAAAGATTCGACGACTCCGAGGATGATTTCCAAACTGGTCGGGATCAAGTCCTACTGGAGGAAGAACCAGATGCGAAGAGGCGACGGAAGCTGATGCAGCAAGGTTCGTTTATGTGACATGTCCTGACAATCATGGCTTTCTGACTTGGCCATTCTACAGAGGAAATGCTTCAGCCTTCCGACGAAGAAATTATGGGTTACGAGTCAGTGGACGAAGACGGTTTAAACGACGGTGAGGATATGGACGAAGATGATGATTCTGGTGAAGAGGATGAAATCGACGACCAAGAACTTTTACGTCCAGGAAACAAGCGCCGCGGTGCTGCGGAGTCTGATTCTGAGGGCGAAGACGAGGACGGCATTGCCGCCTGGGGCTCATCAAAGAAAGACCTCTACAATGCGGATCAAATAGAAACAGAAGCGGATGCTCTTGAGGAAGAGGAGGAAGCTAAGAGACTTCAACAGAAGCATTTGCAAGCGATGGATGAGGCTGACTTTGGCTTTGACGAAGCCGAATGGGTCGAAACCGGCAAAGGGAAAGAAGACGGGGAAGATGACTCTGGAGTCGTAACGGAAGTTCTCCCACAGTTGGAAATCACTGATGATATGAGCACAGAGGAGAAACTGAAAATCCTGAAGTCGAGATACCCCGAGTTCGAGCCGTTGGCAAAAGATTTTGTCGACCTTCAGACAACACATCGTACACTTACGGAAGCCGTCGATGCTATCAGGATCGTCAAAGACGCGGATGATATCCCGGACGTTGCGCCAGTCCCTGTCATCAAGCATCGTGCCCTGTCCGCTTATCTCGGCACTATCACTATGTACCTTATGCTTTTGACGTCATCCTGCGATGCCTCTGGGAACCCAGCTCCCCTATCTCCGGCCCAATTACGATCCCATCCTGTCATGGGCGCACTAGTGAAGTTCCGCAAGCTTTGGGTATCAGTTAAAGATCTTACTACGCCCGAGGTTTCGGAATCCGAGGAAGAGATGAAGAGCGAAGAGGAAGTACTCGAAGCCCCAATCGCCAAGCAGAGCAAGAAGGACAAAGAGGCCCAGGTTGCCAAGAAAAGGAAGGAGAAGATTACCAAAGCACAGCGTGCGGCCGAAGCAGCACAGGCAGAGGCAGAGGCCAGAAGGGCAGAGCGACTGCGGGAGACGGAGGCTAACCTTGCAGACCTCTCGAATCTTGTCACTAAACCAAGCAAGAAGAGAGCTACTCAAAAGAGTAAGCAACCTTCTCATGCTGCCGATGACTCTGATTTTGGTGATGAGGATGCTCTTACTGCTAAGGAGGCAGAGGAGAAAGCCAAGCAGAAGCGTTCTCTCCGTTTCTATACTTCTCAACTTGCACAGAAGGCAAACAAGCGCAGTGCTGCTGGTCGCGATGCTGGTGGAGATGCGGATATACCTTACCGTGAACGTCTGAAGGATCGTCAGGCCCGTTTGAACGCTGAAGCCGAGAAGCGTGGTAGACAGCAGCCTAAGGGAGCAGAACAGCTGGGTGGTGATAGTGACGAGGAAGACCATCGGATTGCCAATGAGCTTAGAGGAAACCAGTCGGGATCTGACGATGACGATTATTATGATATGATTGCTGCGCGTTCCAAGCAACGTAAGGATGATAAGAAGGCACGTTCCGAAGCTTATGCTGCTGCAGCTCGCGAGGGAGGCCAGGTGGCAATCCAGGAAGAGATTGGACCGGATGGCAAACGAGCCATCACCTATCAGATCGAGAAGAATAAGGGTCTTGCGCCCAAGCGGAGCAAGGACTCTCGCAATCCTCGTGTCAAGAAGAGGAAGAGGTTCGAAGAGAAGAAGAAGAAGCTTAGCAGTATCCGCCAGGTATACAAGGGTGGTGAAGGCCGTGGCGGTTATGGTGGTGAACTCACGGGTATTAAGAAGAACTTGGTTAAGAGTGTCAAGCTATAGACTTTTCTTCTTGTTTCTCTGTGGGCATGAGTGGATACATAGTTTGGGCGTTCATTTTCGTGATTACAAAAAAGGATTCGTGTGTACATATATAATTCATATGATAAAACCTTGGTTCGAGTATACTTCTCCTTCTCAGTCTGTTGTCAAAAGCAGGGACATAATGGTAATAAACAAATTCCTCACAAGATAAGAGCTTCCAGGCGAACTATGTGAGACGGTAAAGGTAGATTAGAGTAAATCGAGACCTTGAAGATATACTTAAGCTATACCTCCTCCGTTGGTTTCCTCTACAAGCATGTTGAGCATATCATTAACCTTTCCGGAGCTTTCTTTTGATGATAACTCTAGACTCGAGAATTTTCTTGCAAGTATGTCCTTCAGATACTGTTAGCTTCCCACAAACCCAACAAGAGTACTACGTGCACAGAAATGTCATACCGCTTCTTCCAGAGTGTGCATTTCTTCATCTGACAACATGGCACAGGCAGCTGTCAAATTTTCTCCACGAACAGCTAGAGACGCAAGCTCATTTGCCCGTTCCACAATTGTCTCATTGATTCCGTTTAGGGCTGCGCAACTATTTCATTCTTCAAGTTAGACATGTGACTAAGATCTCTTGCCCATTGCGAAACGTACATCGGTCCATAACTCTTATCACACCAGCCTAGACGGAAGCTGTGTCAATGTTTCGTTAGTATATTAAGCTCGTAAATAAGCCCCAGTCATTCCGGTATGGACTTATATAGATAGGTGATTTGGTCTTGCGCGCTGCGGCATTCTTCGCTGACCTGAACCTCCATATGACCAAGTATCAGTCGAGGCCCTGGCTTCAAAAACTCATTCTCAAGTATCTCATGGAAATGTGTTGCAGCGATGACCTTTGGTGCATTTTCGACTTCAAGCAAGTGCTTGAGGATTCCGCAGATCAGCCCAATACCATCTATAGCAACTTCTTAGCATCCGATTTGAGAAACAGAGAACGTTGAAGTAACAGACCGCTCTCATTGGTACCCTTGCCAAACTCATTCTATTATCAGCAGACTTCGTTCGGTCATTTGCTTCAAGTCACATGATATCTGCTGTAAATCGTTCATAATGTGCTTTGGATCTAAAGTGGCATTAGTGTTATGTCAAGAGGTAAAAGCTAGTTGCTTCTCTCACCTGAGAAACAGTATCTTCGCTATTGGATTTGACCAGAATCTTATCTGTTACCCCTATCTCAACACTCTCTGCTGGGACAAAACTACTATGCTTAGATGTATATTATGAATATGGGCAGATGATATGTGTTCTTATATACCTTCCTGCTTGAGCCAAATAAACGATCAAATCAGCCTGATATACGTTAGAAAAGGAATACCTCTGTTGGGATTTTTGTGATTACCTGCTTCATATAAACACTCTTACTCGAATAATTTGGACCGGTTAGTAGTAACATGCTCGGAGTATGTTCCGTTTTGAAATCTGCATGGGATTTTGACAAGGAACCAGGAGCTTGGGCTCCTGGTTCCCCACCAACTAAGAAAGTATCGTGTAGAACGTACGACGGGACTTCAATTCCTGGAGAATACGACTATCCGAAAAGTTAATAGGCGCCAATAAGGGTTTCCTTACTTAGATTTACCGGCCTCCTTTGAAGTTAATGACATTTTGTCTTGTTAGTTTGGGGCGTGTCAGTCTATAAAAGCTTGCTGCCTGTGCCATCGCAAGGAGACTGTGAGTTATTAGTAAATTCTACCAAAGTGGATGTATAAGGTACTCGCCTATCAAAGGTGGCCACGCACATCTGACGCCTCTAGAAGTACTTTTTCATGTTGAAGTACTCTCTGCGCAAGCTCATATACAATCTCAATCTCCTTCTCTTGAAAACCAAGGTGTAATTAGCGGATTCTATAAGGACTATATAATATAAAAAAATACATACTGCATATTAACTGATATGTTACCTAACTTCTCATCCATCTTTCTCATTCTAAAATCCTTGAAGTATGCCCTGCTCTCGGTGATGAATATGAGCTCTCAATCATTATCTGAGCCTGCAAACGCTGCTTCCCCCCCATCGTTCAATGGAATTGCAATTTTAAAGCCAAGTTGGGGAAAATATATTACATTCACACCAATACCGAGGCTTTTAGAAATGGTACCTGCGATTTCTACTGCGACTTTTTGCAACAAGCTGCTTAAACCATCATAGCTATCTTTTAATTCGTCGATTTCCCGATCTAGTCCCCGCTTGACGACAGCCCTACCTTGTTCCTCGGTGCTATCAATATCGACCTGTAAACTTTAGGACATGCTTCTAGAGGGGGGCTTAACTCATTTACTATATCTTGGATCATCCTCCCAACCCTGTATAGCTGAGCTGCCTCGAAAATCCGAAGAGCCTGGGCCAGTTAGTGTACACGTAGTGGCAAGTGTATCATACTTACTTTGTGAAGCAACGCTAATTCATTTCCGGCTGCGGTTTCCTTAAGTGCATCATGGATATCGATACCGTAGAAAGCAAACTAAGAAGCCTCAGTAATACGCCATGTATTCATCTTACTTTTCCTGACATACAGCCAACAAGGTGGCCCATACTGTGGTCTTGAGCCCAGTAATCTTCCCACTTCCTGTACTGATTCCTTTTCGAAGGTTAACCATAACATGGCGGAGGTTTTTTATATGTTTCAGGCTTTTCGTAAGCTTATTTAGCGGGTTGTTATTGTCTGGGCGCAAATATACCCCAATAAATGCATGACGCTCGCGTATGACATCAATATCTGTACTTGGACGAAGAAAGAATTGCTTGAGTTGGTTTCGTCGCTGAGGGCTATAGGCAAAGCGCTGGAATATTCCATATACTGAAAGACCTTCTTTAGAAGCGGAGGACTTCCTTCCTGGCCCTTGATTAACCTTACTGGGATGAGACTCTGACTCCATGATCTGAAGGGCTATAATAATGTCCTTTCATTCAGAAACCTAGTTCACTGTAAGCCCACCTTTTTTCAACATCGTCGGGCCAGGAGACAGTGACATACATGGCTCCTTATAAGTTGGGAAGTTCTACAGCGCGTACTTGGAAGTATGCTGAAATCCCATCACTAGATGCAGATATCGTTGCTCTTCGCCTTTGAAGGTGAGTGAGTACGGCACCTGCACACCCAATCGTCACTTTATTCTCCATGTCAATTGAGCTAGACATGTGTAGGAGTCTGCCGTCTTGCAATGCGAAGTGTAGACACTCATTATCCATTTGTTCAGGGTCAATTATCCTGTTATGAGGTACTAGAAACCTGATGCGCTGTTCGTGCTCTGAGGATATCTCCAGAGCTATTAGCTTGTTCTTTGCGTTGATGTAGCTAAGCTCTTGTGATGGACGGATGTCCAGCTGATAGGGAAGGTAAGATTGGCTACCTGTTCATTTTTAGGTCTGCCTGATCCTTGATGACTCCTTACTCCTAAACTCACTGGCCTCTTGCTCGGATCCCTGCGTCTCTTGTCTATTGGGGTAGTCGACACGCGGCGAAAGCAAGAGTACTGTAGGCCTAGTATGGATGACCACTAAGACTTAATTAGTACGACTGAAGTGATGGGATAAAATAGTCTACGAACAGGTATCAAATATTTCTATGCCAGCTGATTGCATGTCTCCTAACAAGTAGAGTGTCCCTTCCTGTGCCGAATAATACGAACAACCCACAGTACCGGATTCTTCATGTCAATGGCTACCATTACTTGGCCAAGGACATCATCAGTGAGCTGTTGTATCAAATCAACGGATTGATGAGTACGAATGCTATAGGATAATGACTGTCTCAGAGCGGAAGATGCATATAGGCCGGGAGGATTCAACGAGACAGCAGACCGTACAGCTCTGTTACGGCTATGCCTAGAATCGAGGGAATGGGGTGTGATGTCTGAGTGACACGCCGTTTGTCTTTTCTTCGTGCAGCTCTCCAATGCGTTTGATCATTGGTTTTCTATGAGGCAAATCCTGTTGACTGGAGTTGTTGAAGGTAAATGTGATTGAAAAGCTATCATCAGATAACGTGAGAATGGCTGTAGGCCTTAGGCACTGAATGCTAGAATGTGTCTTGATCATTTTCGACTCGAAATGCGGCCAATTAAAAGGAGATAATTGGTTAAGAATATAATAATAATAATATACATATGTATCTAAAAGCCATATAGTAATGTACACAAATGAGATCTCGTCAATATACATAGACATCATGAGCAAAGACGTCCCCACATTTTCAAACCAATCGAACATGCCTGCTATATCCAACGCCACTAAAGAAAAGCAGCATAAAAGATCATATCAACAGATTCATGGATTTTCGGTTTCTGTTGGGTATGTTGCATTTGTTGCATCTGCAGCCTTCGCTCCTTCTGCAGTAACTTCAAGTCCACTCTTATCGGCGTTGAATGAGACATGAGCGGTTTGTCCGGAAGTGACTTCACCACGAATGATTTTGTCAGCCAGCCTATTGCCGATTTCCTTCGCAATCAGGCGGTTGAGGGGGCGAGCGCCATATCTGGGGTCATAACCTTTCTCACAAAGCCAGTCCTTGATCTCATTATCCACTAGCAGGGTCATCCTTCTGTCGTCAAGCCTTGACTGAAGCTCCTTAAGTCTGATATCGACAATATCCCTAAGAGCTTCTCGGGAGAGTCTCTTAAAAATGATGAATTCGTCGATCCGATTGAGGAACTCTGGGGGATATGCATGTTGCACAACGTCCATGACTGCCTTTTTGATATCAGGAGAAACCTCGTCTTTATCGGACGACTGCTTGTGAGAATGCAGTGGATCTAATCCCACGAGGATATCAGCTCCAAGGTTGGACGTAAGCACAATGAGTGTGTTCCTGAAATCAACCTTGTGCCCCTGGGCATCCGTGAGGAATCCCTCATCCAAGACCTGCAGCAGCAGGGCAGATATATCGCGATGAGCCTTTTCAAACTCATCGAACAACAGAACTGCGTACGGTTTCCGTCTAACGGCCTCTGTGAGCTGACCAGCATCTTCATAGCCAACGTAACCCGCGGGGGAGCCAATTAGGCGACTAATTGTGTGTTTCTCTTGAAATTCGCTCATGTCGAATCTCACAACAGCCGTCTCGGTAGAAAACAAAAACTCGGCCATTTTCTTGCACAATTCAGTCTTTCCAACACCAGTAGGTCCAAGGAACATGAATGAAGCAAGGGGTCGATTTTCTCCACTAAGGCCTGCTCTCTGCATGCGGACGGCGTTGGCAACAGCAGAAAGCGCCTCATCCTGACCACGAACTGACTTCCGCAACGTATCCTCCATCTTGATCAGTTTCTCAACATCTCCAGCCATGAGCTTATTGACAGGAATACCTGTGGTCCGAGAAACCACGTTGGCAATGTCATCCGCCGTAACAGAGTCATGAATCAGACCCTGAGACCCTGAAACTTGCTCCTCGCCTTCTTTTGGCAGCTTGGCTTCGAGACTCGGGATGGTGGAGTATCTCAACTCTCCGGCCTTTGCGAAATTTCCTTCTCTCTGAGCTTGATCAAGTTCGAAGCGAGCACGCTCCAGATCCTCTTTGGTGCGCTTGAGCGTCTCAATTTCGGCTTTCTCCTTCTCCCATGTCTCAGTCAATTTGGCGGCTTCTTCTTTCTTTACTTTTAAATCTTCCTGGAGTTTTTCTCGTCTTTCGCGGCTGCTGACATCGGTTTCCTTGCGCAGGGACTCGAGCTCAATCTGAATAGTGGTGATGTCTCGGTCCAACTCCCGGATTACATCCGGCTTCGACTCTTGCTGTAGTCGCAAGGCTGAAGCAGCTTCATCTACTAGATCAATCGCCTTGTCTGGAAGGAAGCGATCAGTGATATAACGGTTACTGTAGGTGGCGGCCGCCACCAAAGAGCCATCTGTGATTCGTACACCATGATGGACTTCGTATTTGTTCTTAATACCACGCAAAATCGATATAGTGGCGGCAACTGACGGCTCTCCAACTAGGATGGGTTGGAACCGTCTCGCTAAGGCGACATCTTTCTCAATCAGTCTGTATTCATTGAGAGTGGTAGCGCCGCAGCATTGGAGTTCGCCCCTAGACAGTGCCGGCTTCAAAAGGTTGCTAGCATCGATGCTGCCTTCTGCCTTTCCGAGACCAAGTAAAGTGTGTAGCTCGTCGATGAATAGAATCACACCGCCTTGTGCCTCTTCAACCTCCTTGAGGACAGATTTCAAGCGCTCCTCGAAATCACCTCTGAACTTGGCGCCGGCTATAAGTGAGCCTAGATCAAGAGAGATGACCCGTTTATCCTTGATACTCTCTGGGACATCTCCTTGAACAATTCTTTGAGCTAAACCCTCTAAAACCGCTGTTTTCCCGGTACCAGCAGCTCCTATAAGCACTGGGTTGTTTTTCGTCCGTCTCGATAAAACCTGAATAGTTCGATGAATTTCGGCATCCCGGCCTATGACGGGATCCAGTTTGCCGGCCTTCGCCTTGGCAGTAAGGTCGACACCATATTGTTCTAAAGCTGACTTTTCGGATTCACCTCCCAAGTTCATACGGTGGGTGCCGCCGGGAGGGTGTGGGCGTCCATTGGCATAATTGCGAACCAAATGGTGAGGCTGGAATAAGGATGCCTTAGTTGCGACGGAAGGAAGGATCCGGGTCTGTGATGGTAAACGGAACTGGTGAGAGGGGTGGAATATACGGTTTGACGTTGATAGTGCTGAGGAGCGCAACAGTCGACCTCGTGTAAGCTGTAACCTTGAAGCCATGTTTAATTTCTAGCAATGATTCGAGATTGGGGTGGTTCAGGTGCGACTTCAAGCCATTCAAGCCTACAGAGTAGACTATGAGATGCCTATATACCCCAGCAACCCCAAGCATCGTGACGCTTCTCGAAAGCTCCACCGCGGCGACAACGGTGAGTGGCGGAAGCTCAACAAGAGGGCCGACCAGCTCCGTCACGGATCACGTGCGGCCCCATCGAGGGGCTATTTGGTGGCCGCCGAAAATTTCACACCTTGAGTGGATCTTCTGCCGAAAAAAAATTGCTTTCGAACACCTTTCCCCTTCTACACCCCTATATATTACTCCTCTTCTTCCCCCTTACTTCTATTTCCAACCACATATTTAACACACATTAATCACTCACAATGGGTTTCACCGACTTCGTTTCTGACGCTGGCCTCACTCGTACGTATTCTTTATATTTCCTCTTCCCCCCTTCGTTCTTTACTTGATTCCTTTCATGTTTCCCAGAAGCTAATGTTACCCCTCAGTTGCCAACAACTGGTTTGCCACCAGGAGCTACGTTATTGGGTAAGTTCCTTTGCATCATCCTTTTCCCTACTGTTGCATCGATGTTCCATCTGGTTTTTGTATGATGAAAATAAATTGGTCCGTGTTTATGAGGCGGATTAAGACCCCGCTGCGAGATTACACAACAATTGCGAGCAATCGCGTTTCTGATATCCAGGAAGAAAATTTTTTCTCTTTGATTCGTTGACTGTCTACACTTGCTATGAAGACTATTATGGTCAATGTTTTTGAATTTCTCATGACTGACTGGAAATTAGCGATGCTCCTTCTCAGGCCGATGTCGTGACCTTCAAGGCCTTTACCAGCGCCCCTGACGCCGAGAAGTACCCTCACGCTGCTCGTTGGTACAAGCACATTGCCTCCCACGAGGCTGAGTTTGGCTCTCTCCCTGGTGACGCCTCCAAGGCCTACACCACCTATGGCCCCGAGTCCGCAGAGCTCCCCACCAACCCTAAGGACAAGCCTGCCGATGATGATGACATGGACCTCTTCGGCAGTGATGATGAGGAGGAGGACCCTGAGGTCGTTAAGGAGCGTGAGGCTCGTCTTGCTGAGTACAAGAAGAAGAAGGAGGCCAAGCCTAAGCCCGTTGCCAAGTCCCTTGTGACTCTTGAGGTTAAGCCTTGGGGTATGTAACCTTTCCTTTCTATCAAATTTGCATGTTCTAACCAATATCCCAGATGATGAGACCAACCTTGAGGAGATGGAGGCCAACGTCCGTCAGATCGAGAAGGACGGCCTCGTCTGGGGTGCCTCTAAGTGGGTTGCTATCGGTTATGGTATCAAGAAGCTCCAGATCAACCTTGTCGTTGAGGACGAGAAGATTTCCCTTGACGAGCTTCAGCAGGAGATTGAGGAGGATGAGGACCACGTCCAGTCCACCGATGTCGCTGCTATGCAGAAGCTGTAAATGAAATTTATGAAGGCAAATGGTGTGATGAAGGATTATTTCATGTTATTGAACGGAAACCAAAGTCATGAATTTAAATAACTAGAACTCGACCGGTTACTGTCCGGTCGTTTTGATGAAATCAAAAAATCAAAAATACCCCCCTATAATCATACATTCCCCATCTCCAGTAAATCTTCATGTACGTTATATCGGGCTACCGCGCAATAATTTTGAAGGCAATCAAACGTTGAGTACGTGGTGAGTAAGTGGTAAACAACGATGGTGCCCAACCTTGCCTTCACTTGGGCTGCTGCGTTTCTCAACGTGGGGTTTGTGCGGAAACCACCAGATGGATGCACAATTGGTCTTAAATACCCGCCGTAGAAGCTAGACTGCTCCGGAACATCGTTAGTAAGCTTTGCTGATATCGACGCTCAATCACTCCAGCGCCATCTGGAGATTCGTGCATTCCTGTGGCACAACCTGACAAAGATTCACGAGTCTTAATAGATCTGCCTCTATCAATTTATCAGGTTACACTGCTGATTATGGGTTTCATCTCACGCTTGATCACGTTCCTCGGACTCGTCCTACTTGCTCATGCGTAAGTGCCGCGATGTCCTTAAGCAATTTAAATCACCTGGTGATCTTTGGACGAATTGCTAACCAAGAACTCTGGGTATCCAGGGGCTACTCCGCACATGAGCATACGGTTCTGCACAGCAATGCCCGTGTCTCTTCCGCGTCTGCCGCTCTCCCTCAAGACATCGTCATCGAAGCTCTAGTATCCCTCGTCATTGTTTCAATGGGTCTGGTGCTGGGCGCGCCCAAATTGAAGCCGATTAGCTGGAGTCAGTGGGCTGGAGAGATTGAGAGGGAAGGTGGTGGCCGGAATCCCTACCGGAGACTGGAGGAGAGGTATAACTTCTGGGATGTGCGGGTATGTGCTATTCTATTCTCCCTTTCCGATGGATCTTTGTCTATAGGATATATTGCTGATTGTCCAGGGTAAACGGGAGGAATTTGCGGAGTGGATTAAGAGAGAGAATCCTCTGAAGGAGTGACTTGGGAATTTTCATAAAAGCTATTTGGGATGGCACTTTACATGTACAGCTACATCAGTCAAGAGTAATGAATAAGTCGTTGCTTCGGGGTTACTGTCCTTACTATGTTGCTCGGGATTAGCTGTGTAGGCTGGTCTTTAGCTGACTATATATGGAGCAGGTGTCGAGTACGAGGTAAGGTATAGGGTGTCGAATGTTAGTCTTGGAAGATGCTTCTCTGTATGTGTCTTCTGTGCTGTTGGTTCGATGAATTGCGCAGAACTAACATACAACCTTCTAATGTACTTCTCAATACTCTTGAGAATAACCATAAACCGCTTGACACAATCCTCTGACCCCTTTAGGGTGATGAGGTAGCTACCGACCTATTTATCAAACCCTAGAGCATATCTATCTCCCCACGGACAGTCCGACGGTCCAGCAGCAAGCGCCCAATCTCCAATAATCCATAGAATCCAGAATCATCCGTTAGCCCCCAACAAGCCCACGGAAAAATACCAACACTAGTCCTACTCAACTTCTATCCCACTACAGCAAGAACCCTATCCAAACAAGTCACCATCCGAACATCCAACCCATCCATAACCATAACCATGTAAACTAAACAATAGAACCCCAAATCCCCGACCCTTCCCCCTACATCCCCAAACCACCAGACACATATCTATTAACAACAACATCCAAGCGTCGGAACAAACCGCAGAAAAACGGAACATGTCTCACATACCCCAAACCCACTACGCCCACAAGAAAAACAGCAACACAAAACCGAGCACCCCCGATGCTCCACGAACGCACCTTCTGTTGAGCCCATGGGCGAAACAGCTCCTCGCAATCTATAGTTCCAACAATTCTATACGTACTAATCCACCGCTCATCCTGTCTTACAGTTGGGTCTATCTAGCAGAAGCACTATTGACATTCTACCGTGGGCGCTATGTATAGATCAACATGGTGGGTTTCACGGGGGCTCGTGAGCCTATTTGGTCTGGAGTTAGTGCTTTCTCGGCATTGGGGGTAGTGCTGTGTGTGATTGTTATTGCACTTCTACGGAGTAGAAGGGTTTCGGTCCGGGGTATGGTTGCCCCCTGGGGGTATTTTATAGGGTGCATTTGGTGGCTTTTGCGAGGTATATATGATATGGGACTTGTCTTGCGCTGCGATAAGACTTTCATTATCTAGGTATACTTCTCTATATGACGGAAATGGGATATTGGCGGCTAACTTGATCGTAATGGTGGCTCAGTGTGGCTGCGCTTGTTGTTCGAGGCTGGGTATCGTGTCTCGCTCGAACTGTGGGGGTCGGACAGGAACAAGAACATGTCCAATGGACCGGAGTACCCAGTGATTACGCGAAAACGGTGAGGATTGAAGGGTGGCAGTACTATGTAGGTACCCTATGGGCCAGTGGGATCGAGGAGTGCTACAGTTGTGCCAGGGTGAGGTGAGCACTGAGGCTCTACGGATCTACAACGGGCTTTGTAAGGCAGTAGAGTATGTAGTGGTACATACAGAGCACTCCGTCCTAGGGAGACTTTATTATCGGTTTCGAGTTTACTAGGATTACCTCGGAGGATTGAGATATAAAAGAACCCAACACTGGCAAGCGAACAATCAAAGAAGGCCGTCATGTGGACCTGGAGGGACCACTGGACGCCGCACGAGCTGAACAATAAAGACAGACGGACGGTAAGGCATGGGGCTTCGGAGTACTAGGTACTTAATACTACTGATATCCAGGAGGATCGTGTGTGACTGTGTTACATACCCAGAGAAGAAGAACAAAGGACCCCCATAATAATATTATCACATTAATTGCTAGACTCCACCCATGCGGCAGATTGATGGAGACGACATTATGTTGACAGGGCCAGGGAAATACAATGCCATTACCCTGTTCCAGAATGGTAAGAGGGAAAAAAGAAGAAGGTAAAATGGAAAATTTGGAAACCCCAATTATTTAGCCTTGTTTTGGATGTCTGGGGATAGAATGACCCTTTTCGCTTCATTAACCGAAATTTCCTTTTTGACATTCTTCCTTTTTTTCCCTTGCATTTGCCATGGGGGTGTGAATGGGAAGTCTGGCCATTGGTTCTCCGTACTTACCATGCACTGTTTCTTTTCTTTTCTTCTTTTTTACTTTTCTTACCAGGGGGAAGGTGTTTGAGCCATCGAGATTCATTCGTTCTGTATTACAACGCCCTGCATGATTGGTACCTTACGAGATGGTTGGAACTTTCAATTTGGCCCTTGTTGCCATGTCTTGGATGGGATGAGTTGATCAACACTAGGTACATTTGTCAGTGTCAAAATGGTTGCATACGCAGACGGTACAGGGGATGGGGGGGGGCATCAATAGTTTCTACCAACTTGGGCCGTCATTATCCAGTTACCCTGTACTTCGGGAATGAAAGTAGTTGTGTGCAACCTGATCAATGAAGCGGGAATTGTAAAGGTGGTGACACAGAAAGGTAAGGTGGCGGGACTGGGCGAGATCGAGGCTCAAGCCTCGAACGTACTGGAACCTGTACACGTACGGTAATCGCGCCATCACATTCTCCATTCCCGAGGAGAGACAGTGGGTGGCTTGATTCTGGTTGAAGGAGTAGAACACGGGAGGCTGAGACCATGCCCCGGGTGACTAAACCCCATTGGGAAACTATTAGATTATCTGCGGTCTTGGTCCATGCGGATCAAGGACTTGGGATGCATTGGTCAAAGTCTTGGGGAGAAGTCTTGTTTGTCACTAGGGGAGTGAACCCAGCAACTTTCTTCCCGATGACAAAGAATTATTTATTTATGTATTTTTTCCAAATTCTTTTTTATTGTCTTTTGCTGGGTGTATGTCTCTGTTTAGAGCGAAAAATAGAAGAATTGTCTCATTACGTGTGCTGCTGATGACGAGTAAAAGGATCTCACTATTAGTCTCGAGAGGAGGATCTATTGAGTCCAATGTAATCCGTGGATAGGTATGATGTCCATGGACGGATTGGAGTACCTCTCTCTGTTTAATCATAGATCTTTCTGGTGGTCAGAAAATCAACAAAGAGGGAATCAGACAAGGGGGGAAAGTAGGTTTTTTTTTTTAAAAAAAAAGAAATAAAAAAATTCAATAAACAAACAATACCAAAAGATCGAAGGAGAGTGGGGAAAAACAGAAAAGAAAACAAAAGAAAAGAAAAGAAAATACACCCTTTGAATGGAACGGTTGAGAATTGTATAGGGACCAAGTGGTCATTGGGCCAGAGCGGGTAAGGCAGTGGAACCCGCAGCTGACGATGTGTCGCGGTGGCCAGCCAAAAATAGTATGAAGCATACGCAACCCTCCAAACCTTCGACTTGTGTTTGCGGAGGTATTCTCACCAATGACAAGGGTTTTTCCTTGGGAATTTCTTATTTACCCTACCGACTATGGCTATGAGAATGATCCTGTTAACAGGGCTTAGACCCAGGATACCCTAGACTGAGTCTCGCAAGGTTTTCCTACTGGGAGAATTGGTCGGGAATGGGAGTCGAAATGTTAACATATTTCCTTCTCTCTCTCTACCTTTCTCAGACTAACCCTTCTTTAGAATGAAAGTGGAGCCCCTAACATGCAGATACGATTGCCACTAAAGGCGCAGACAGGGCTGATGGGGAGATTGGTGACTTGACACCGAGGCTACTATTACTAGATCCTTAACTGTTCACATGTATTATTAGTATTTGGTATTATGGTTGTTTTCTTTTTTCAAACACTGATTCTCAATTTACATTTACCTATTATTAGAGATATCCTTTTTTTCCCTTTAATTTAAAATTTTTTCCTTATTATAATTCTTATTATCATCCCGTCCTTGTCTATTTAAAGACTCCACTGCGCCCTGTCATCTTTGTTGACCCTTTTCTTTCCCGGAGTAATATAAAGGAACCCCTACACTCGTTTCCTATTTCTTCCAGCAATTACACTCGCTTGTCTTCCCACTGCGTGTCACCCACCATCTTCAGATCATCCCGACCGTCTAATTGATCATCTGATCTATACAATCGTCAAAATGCGTGCCACTTTCGTCCTCGCTGCCTTTGCCGCTGTGGCTGCTGCCCAGTCCTCTTCTGCTGTAAGAACCTTCGAAAGATCTACTGTTACTCTTCTAGTATGCTAATCTGAATCTCTCTTCAGCAAGAGACTGCCACCGGTGTCGAGAGTGCTACCGGTACCGGCGTTGAAACCGGCTCTGCCTCTGCCTCTGCCACCGGTAGTGGTGTTGAGACCGGCTCCACTGCCATTCCCACCGTCACCTCTCAGCCCGTGATCCCCTCAGTCACGGCTACTGATGCCCCTACTACCCCCAGTGGTGGTGCTGGGTCCTCCGGTGCTGTCTCCGGCTCTAGCGGTGCTGCTTCCTCTACCCTCGTGAAGTCCACCAGCGCCGCCAAGAGCTCTGGCGCTCTTACTTCGACCGAGACCTCCACCAAGACCAAGTCGGCCGATGAGTCCTCCAGCACCAAGGGCTCCTCTACCAAGTCCAGCTCCGCTTCCTCCAGCACCTCCGAGGGCGCTGCCCCCATGGTTACCGCCGGCCCTCTCGGTCTGATTGCCGGTGCCGCCATCGCTGCTCTCCTGTAAAGGGACAACTCGTGATCGATCTGGTGCTTGGTCATTGACAATAGTCGCTTCCAACCTTCCCCCAAGCAACAATGTGTCCCCAAGCGAACTTGTGCTCTATGGACCTCCCACCTCCGACCGTTCTAGATACTCGGGATGGCGGAAACAACTCAAGAAAGAATGAGGCATACGGATACTGAGGTTCATTTCCATACTCCATATGTATCATTGCTGGGATGGACGTTTCATTCCTTTTCTTTTTCTCGTCTAATCCGTTAAGTCGCCGCTGTTTCCACAAGAGACGCTTAATTTTCGCCGCGCACATATGAAACTTGTCTTTTCTTCAACAAAGTTTTAATTATAATATCATAATGAGGACACGCTACGGTAAATAGGAATTCCATGTTCTGAGGAAATCCGTTATGACAACTGTGGATTCGAAAGTATATCGTAGTTGTGATCAACTGTAGAGTAGATCCACCTGTAGCGTCTATCAGAACTGCCCAGTTCAACCTTTCTTCCCCACTCCAGATAGCAGACGATCGTTCCAGAAGTTCAAGCAATAGGGGTCCGTCTAGCCTTCAACCCAAAGATTACCATCCGGTAACCCAAAAAATTAAAGATAGGAGATCCGACAATGACAGGAAGGAGAAGTGGGTCCATCAAGTGGGCCAGTTTAAGATGTCGTGTCAATAGCTTAACAGTCGATCTATCTCATATAGAGCCGCGACAGGGATAGACAGATTGCATCTAATATCAGAGCAACTCGGATGGAGTCCAGTACTTACTGTGCACGCAGTGCAGATAGACCCCGTACCCATGAGTGATCCACCGTGCTAATTGGAAGCAATACCATGGACATATGCATACTAAATCTAAGGAATAATCCAACGATTATCACAATGCGCGTTCTTCGGAATGTCATACATTGGTAATGATGTGTACATTTGGAGAGATCACAAAGCAGGTTTCGATGTAGATACAAGCATACATATACATACATAGCTAGCCGTCCCCTCGAATGCCAACGGCATGACACCAGATAACCTCCGACGCAGGTACAATTATTAGAAGGTTTAGATTGACAACCAGGGATATCAGACTTAGCGGTATGACAGTATCAGCCCCTATCAAGAACTCCTTACGGACCTAGATAACCCTTGGAAGTTGAGGTAAAAGAATGTGGGCAATGGTGCACCTCCCACCAAATCAACTCGAATCACTAGACCGTCCCATATAGATGTATTCGATGCACAGACAAAATCTTTCCTCGAGAACTTCCAAATAATCACTCTATTCCCGATCAGGAAGGCACTAATAACACTTCCTAAAACGCGCACGCGTTGGTCACCTGACGGTGACCGCGTTTGTTTGGCAACCATGGAACCGATCGGGCCTAGTCCCGTCAGCTTCACATCATCAAAACAAAAGCTGAGGGTGTTTTGGGGGCAACCGAACTTTGGGTCCCAGAGCCGCAAATCTATTCACCTATTCTTTTTTTCCCTTCTTCTAAGGCCAATTCATAGATCTTCAATACCACCCTCCCCCTTAATTGGTGCATATTGACCGGGGAGCTGAGTGGACTTACATTTCTCTGGAATCTACCTTTCGCACCACCCACTCTCCCCATCCTCATATCAAGTCTATATAACTCAGGGTCCCAGATAATAATATATATAAAAATGGTAAGTAATATTAGCGTCACTCGATCTGCAATAAGTAACCAACCCAATTGAAACCCCAGGTCTCAAGCCTAAAACGTCTCGCCGCGGACCACGCCGCCCTCCACGACGACCTCCCCCCCAACTACCTCTTCCCCTTAGAGGACTCATCAGATGACCTCACCCAACTCACCACCCTGCTGGCTGGTCCACAGGGCACCCCGTACAGCCAAGGCCTTTGGCGCGTCCACCTAAAGATGCCAGACGACTACCCCAAGAGCCCGCCAAAGGCGACATTCAAAACGCGCATATGGCATCCGAACGTGGAGGAGTCGACGGGCGCGGTGTGCGTCGACACACTGAAGCGGGACTGGAAGGCGACGCTGACATTAAAGGATGTTCTAGTTGTGAGTTTGCATGGCCATATTCTTCTTTTCTAGGGGAGAAGAGAATTGGTAAGCTAATGCAGTGGTTTGCGATATACAGACAATTTCGTGCTTGCTTATTTACCCGAATCCGGATTCGGCATTGAATTCGACGGCGGGGGCGCTGTTGCAGGAGAATTATGAGGTGTTTGCGCGGCAAGCGAAGTTGATGACGTCTATTCATGCGCCGGTGCCGACGGACTTGAAGGATGCGGTGGCGGAGGCTAAGACGAAGGGGGAGGATTCTGGGACGACGATCCCGGAACAAGAGGAGCCTCGCTTACTGCGTTCGCGGAAGGGTGTAAGAGTGCAGTCTGTGACGATGAAGAAGAATACGAATGCCCGGAAAATTGCGCCGCGGCGACAACAACAACAACAACAACATCATCATCATCAATCTGATAATCAAGAGACGGAGAACCCTGCTGAAGAGCGACAGCTGGACACTCGTCATGAGATCGATATACTAGTGTCAGACGATGAATCCGAAAACCTTTCCAACGCCAGCAAAGAGAACGATCCATCATTATCGCCGTCCCCCGTCAAATTTGCTTCACCGAGCCCTAGGAAAAACGTCCTTGGAAAACGCCCCTTGTCCGTCTTAACCCTACCTGTGGATATCGATCCCTTCGCAATGGATTCAGAAGACAGTGACCTGGAGGGAATGACAGGAATGACAGCGTCGGAGAAGAACATTGCAGCGAATCATCACAATGACAACCCAGAATACGCTCCTTCCCCACAGCGAAAATCGCCAAAGTTGTCCCTCCGCAGCAAAGGGTTCAATTCTTCCGGCCGCATACGGGAAGAAGTCAAGATATTCGAAGATGCTCCAGAGCCACTCGATCTGGGCTGCCATCGCAGCGGGGACGGCAAAGAAAATCATGGCTCCCTGAGCGGCTCGAAAGAGATCGGCATTGCTTCTAAAAAGGTTCACCCGACCTGCCCTCCAACTTCGCTCGTTCCGTCCTGTACATCTGCCCCGTCCAGCTCTAAGGGTTCAAAGGCAGTGTCGGGTACACGAAAGGTATCGGCCCCCAATATTAAAAAGGCAAAACCGAGGGTAGGCATTCGCAGGTTATGAAGTTGGTTTGTGATTGAATACTGTGCTATAGTTTGGTTGAGTCCTTGGTGCATTGAGGCAAAGGATTGGGCCTGGCGTTTCCGGGGAAGAATTAGATTGAATTTTAATGGGTAGGCGTGTTGGCTGCATCCTTTTCTACAAGCAGTGTGTCTTTGGGAAGGGCTTTTGCATATTCGTTGGACAATCTGTTTTGAAATGCTTTGGTTGGTTATGATACATACATATAAAGTACAGCACTACTAGGAAGTAGGTAGTAGTAGTCTTTGATTATTGACGTTACTACTCCTGCTACTCCTATGTCAGCCTGAAGAAATATACCATCCGAAATCGCCTATTCAATCATAAGTTATGCAAACATCTAAAACGAATAATCAAATTTTCCTTGAGGTTCCTCATAATCGATCCTCGATCCATACTAGAGATACTATCTCGTGACGTCCGATTCCCCTGATCCCTTAGCTCTTGAATTGGCTCCTCGCGTGGGGAATAGTATACTACTTCCAAGCTTGACCATTGACCCTTCCTCCCCGTGAGTAAAGCTGCGACTGATATAAACGACGCAAGGCAGCCGGTGCAGTGGGACGATCCTGCAAGTTTGGGAGGCTCACAACCATTATAATGAAGATAACAAATTAACACGCTAGACTAATTAGAGCAGTAGTACCAGAAGAAAGAGGGCGGATCCGCAACAGTCCACATCTGTTGGCAACATATATGATGGAACTGTGTGACAGCCAATGTATATCAATATACGACCGTTGTGATAGGTCTGCCAAACAGGCCAAAATCGGGATTCTCGAGAATGCAAACACACATTCGATGGCGCGAAGTGAAGTCTCGGACCTCTACAGAGCGTAGGGGTTTACAGACCGAATCGTGAGACAACTATGAAAAAGCAAAAGGGTCAGTTGAGACACAAAGAGGGAACAATCTAGGAAACACATACGGAGGACTCTTAGACAAGTCGGTCTTCAGTATGATGGGAATGCGGGACATCTCAGTGACGTCTTGAATATACTCTCCGTCCTCTTCCCTAAGCTTGAAAAGCTGTAGGTATTTCTCCTTGTTGGTCAGTTTCGCTTCGGGGGCGTCACCACTGATCGTGGCAATCTTCGGATCGGATCGGGTCCGGTGAGGGGATTGTTGAAGGTGACCATTGCGAGTCGGGGAAGGTGGCATGCTCTGAGTCGAGCGGTCGGCAGATGAGTTTAATGACACACCTGCAGCCATCTCAGTGACTTCGGAGACGTCATCGTCGTCATCGTCGAAGAGAGCATCCACATCGTTAGTGGATATGGTTCCGGTCTCGGTCTGCTTCCGCATAGCTTCCTCCCTCTCGCGAGCGCGTTCTCTAGCAGCTTCTACTTCACGCGCGGCCGCCGCTGCCTGAGCAGCACGGGAGTTTGCGGGCTTTGGACGTTCATCTTCAGGGATATACGCAGAGGACGGGACACCCTTCTCCCAGTAAAGCTCCAGAACTCGGGTTTCCTTGCGGAATTCGGCCTTCTTCAAGGGCAGCTGGTCACAATGGACACGCTTCTCAAAGCCATACTCCGGAATGAGGACATCAAAAGCAGACTCATAGACGCAGAGGACAATACCCTCACTGATTAGGTCCCCGCCAATCTCCTGTCTCTTCCTGTCCATGGCACGGCACGCTTCAATGTGCACGCTCTGCTCCTGAGCATTGTGGGCAGAATCCTTCTTGTTGTTGCAAACGTCTGCAGTCTTGCTCAGTGTTTCAACATCATCCGAGAACTCAGCGGCGCCATTGGACAGGATGGCCTCTAGTTGGCGATGTACAATGATATCTGCGTAGCGACGAGATGGGTTGGTGAAATGAGTGTAGACTGGCATGTTGAGAGTGTAGTGATGGCGCTGGTCATCCTGCACGTTGCTGGCCACGTAGTACTTGGCACGCTGCATAGCTTTGACCAGAAGTGTTTCCATTCCCTAAATGACGTTAGGAGTACTGCATTATCGCAAATAGGCTAAAAAGAGGTATTTCCCCCTTTAACTCTGAAAAGAAAAATAAACTTACCTTGCGTAAATCATCATCCTGGACCTTGCAAAGACTGCTCTGCAAAGTCCCACTGCTCGTCGAGTCTAGCCCAAATCCAAGCCTATTCATCCTGTCGATGAACGAGTGGAGGCGGCGCACATTAGGCGATGGCTGACGACGGAGGAATGCCTTATCGGGCAGGGCAGTCACCAATTTACGAGCAACGAAGAAGTTGGCTTTGTGACTCAGTTCCTCCACAATGTCCCGCACAGGAGAGGAGTTGAAGATGTTGCTTTCAACTGGAACATTCTCATCATCCGTCTGGTATAGTAACCGCAGAGGAGGTAAATGCGAGACCCGGTTACCGAATCTCGCTTCGCGGAATTTCGAGGCCACGGCCTGCAACACTGTTAGTCACGGAACGGAGTCGCCATCCGGGCGGGTGAGCAATAAGAAATACATACGTATAGTGCTCGAAGAGTCTCAGCCTTTATTTCAGGCACAGAAAGATCTGAAGCTCCCTGGACCACAGCATCCACTTCCTCATAGCTCAGCCGACCAGCACTCTTGATGATGCCCTTGCCAATCCAGACATCGTCGTCAATGGCACCAGTCTCAGGATTAGCCTTAATCACGACACTGACCGTAAGACGGTCCTCTCCAGGAAGCAAAGAGCAAAGCTCAGTAGAGATGCGCCGCGGCAGCAAGTTGACTAGTCGGTCAACGAGGTAGACGGCAGTGCCTCGTTTCTTTGCTTCACGGTCAACCAGAGAATTAGCTTTAACAAAGTGAGCGATGTCGGTGACGTGAATTCCAATCTCCACTTTGCCGTCTCCAAGAGGCTTGAAATGGTAAGCATTCTCGAGCTCCTTGGTTCCACTAGGAACGACGGTGAACGTCGTGTCCTGACGGAAGTCGCGGCGAGAGGCGAGAAGAGCTTCGCCCTGGCTAGAAACCGACCAGTCCTCCCAGCCAATGCTCTTGAGGACAGCATCAGAGAACTCGTCGGACCCGAAGTTGTTGTCACGGAGGAGCGCCTCGGTTTCAACCCTCAGGTCGCCCATTTCACCCAACTGCTCAACAAGAGTCCCAAAAGGATGCAAGGACGTGATGGGCCATCGCTTAATGCAAGCAACAAAGATGCGGTTGGCGTAGTCCTGGTGTTTCTCGACGAAATCGCGAGGCGCCTGTTCCGTAGGGATGGCGATGAGGGGAACACGCTTGTCGGTAGGCTTAAACCAGACAATCTTAGGCTTGTCCTGCTGACGATCGTGTTGCGAACGGCCATGAGGGCCATCTCTGGCAAGCCGTTCAGCTTCTTGCTTCTCCTTCGTCGCCTGGCTACTGGGACGCAGGAGTCCGAGAGTGCCCGAGAACATCTGTCCGGCAATACGTTCAATTACAGCCACGACATGACCAGCGTACAGCGGCTTCTGATCATCACTGATCTCATCTTCCTCGACCAAGAGGAGGCTCTGACCCTCCACTTCGACATCGTCATTCTTCTTTTGTGTTGGGCGCTGGCGAAGACTGCCGCGGCGGCGGATGCTGCCGTCAGGACCGACCTCCTGGCGGTCTCCATTGGCACCGGAGTCAGATCGAGAGAGCTTATCGCTTCCAGCATTGCTACCGGTGCGTGCGTCAGTGATGTCTTTGCGTTTCTTCTTCTCTTCCTTTTCGCGCTTCTGAGACCACACTTCATCAACATCCAGGAGTTCAATGGCCACGTAGTCGCCCTCAAGAGCACGGTTTCGGTCTTTGCTGCCACAGATGAAGATATCCGCATCCAGGTCTGGAGTTGTAACGTATGCATCGGAACGGTTTTTCTTGTTGACCCGCAGGATACCGGCTACTAGTTGACCATTGCTCAATAGCGCAGGAAGGTTGGCCTGAGGCAGATATGGGGTGAATAAAGTCTTCCGCTGCTGCTGCTGCTGCTGCTGCTGCTGTTGGGCAGACAGCTGGGGAGGAGCATGCTGGCTGGCTTGGAGACCCAGGCCCTGGCCGTTCAGCTGGCCATTTTGTTGGAGAGCCTGAAGCTGTGCAAGCTGCAGCGGGTTCAGCTGTTGACCGCCGCCAAACATCTGCGGTGGGGCCATGACTACCTGACCCTGGGGTAACTGAATGAGCTGCGGCTGGCTAGGATACTGGAACGAGCCGATGGAGCCGATGGATTGGTTCATCGATGCACGCGCACGGTGACCGGGCTGGAACCCACTGCCCTGTTGTCCAAAACTCTTCTGCTGATCCTGACTCTGACCCTGGTTGTTTGGTTGGCGCCAGTTGCCGTCGAAGTTCCGAGACGAAGTACGAGCATGGCCTGTCTGGCTTCCGCGACGTGGGTTCTCTGAATCATTCGACTGTGGAAATTGGAATCCACCAGCGCTACGGCCGGATATAGAGCCCCGGTTGCTGCCCACAGCCATAGACTGACTACGGCCATGTCCGCCAGACCGAATGTTGCCGGCCCGTTGCAGACCCAGTCCCTGAGGAACTGGTGTCGTGGAAGGAGTGGACTTGTCGTCCGAACCTGCTGCATTATCGGATGATTCACCTCCAGCACTGGGGATAGGGAACTGAAATCCGGATGCCGTTCTCTTCTGCTGGGCGAGTTCGGCAGCCTTCTTGGCTTCAGGCAGCGCAAGCGAGTGACGTCGCTGGTGACCACCACCACCTGGGGGTCCCCCTCGGCCACGACCGTGACCTCCATTCTCATTTTTCGGCTGGCTGCTTTGGGGCTGATTATAATCAGAATACCCTGAAGCTCCGGAAGACGGAGCTGGAGGAGGTCCCATACCCAAGCCAGGGAGGGCTGATTGGTTGCGGCGGTGCGAATGCTGCCCGGGGCTGTTCATCGGAACACCAAGCTGTTGCTGAGCAAGTTGAGGGAACTGGAAGGCATTGAGCTGAGGGGAAACCCCACCCATAGACGCACCACCTTGGAGTGAAGGAGAGAACGCAGAGACCTGACCCAACTGCTGAGGCTGTAGGAGTCCCATGTTAACATACTGTTGGTGGGTAGCTGCGATTTGTTGTTGTTGCTGCTGAAGCAGCTCAATCTGTTGCTGAATCGCTAATTGTTCCACTATTATCAGGTCTGTTAGTGAAATAGTTTGGACTCACGAGGTCAGAAAGGGGAATTATTGGTCTGTCCACCACATACTCATAAGAGGAGTTAATTCTGATGGGCTTCTTCGATGAGCAATGTGAAGCTTGCGGCCCGTCGGACCGGGAACCCCGGATTGACCCTGTTGATCCATCTTCCCTAATGAATAGAGACCGGATTATGTGTGTAGGAGATGGAGTTTCTGCGCCGAAGACAAGAGAGTGTTGAAGGATGACTCGTTAGGAGGCTGTTTACAAACCCAGGCCGACCGGGGGAGAGAGCTTGGATTTGGGGCAAAATGCTTATGAGTAGTATACTAGATAGAGAATCGATAGGTCAGCAGGTGCGGGGCGATTGTAGAAGTGGAATGAGGGTGAACGAGAGAAGATCAGAGAAAGGGGACGTGAAGAAGGTAGTAGAGTAGCATTGTGAATTGATGGAAGTTGCGATGATCCCATAGCAGTTGCCTGGGCTTAAGGATAGCATCACTGAAATAGAGGAAAGAGGCGATGGCAGAATGTCGGTGAATAGGAAGCTTAGAACTGTGGGGTGACCAAGAACAGGATGTTGAAGTTCCTTCAGAATGCGTACCTGGTCAAAATGATCGTCCGACGTTGAGGAATGCTGCTGTATGACGTCTTTTTTGATCTCGCCTCCTTTCCCCTTTTCGCACCAAGCGGGATTTGCTTTTTATACAAGTGAAACGATGAACCCGCAGAAAAGAAAAGAAAAAGACGAAAAACAATAAGCAGGGGATTCAATGCTGAGAGAATCCACACGAAATAATCCAAATATATTCAATCAAAAATAATGACGTTGGGAATGGGCGGCGGAGGGATAGCCTCTGATTCAGAGCCGAAGGAGAGGATGAAGCTTGACGAATTGGGGGGGAGGTTTGGGAGAAGCAGAGAGGGGAACCAAATAAGCGGATGGAAAGCTGACGGTTGACCCCAAATTGCCCATACAGCTCACAGACCACGTACTGAAACACCCCCGAAAAACCTCACGGAACAACTTCAAATTTCTTGTTTTTAAAACCTTGTGCGATTTCCGAAACGGTGTCGCCTCTCTTTTTTGCGTTTGGAAAATAAAACGTTTCCCTAATTGATGTGGATTGTACGGAAGAGATCGGAGTCTCTCCTAAATACTTCCAGATGAAGAAAAGGGGGGTGGAAGGCAACTCAGTGTGAAAATCTTAGTTGGCGTCCTTCTTTAAAGGATGAGAAGTTCATCCCTTAATGGAAAGATTGATACGATCAAGTTTCCTTTTCTCGCGGTGGATCAAAATGTACGAGGCCGAAGCACGAAGTATCTGACCACGAAGAGAGAATGACAGACAAATAAATCTGATAGAATCCAAAGGTAATTAATTGATAGTCCTGAAGGAATGATCGGGGAAGTTGCTGTAAGAGGAAAGAGGGAGGGAAAATTCTAAAGGAGAGAGAGAGAGAGATGAAGAGAAGAGGGTAGAGGAGAATGAAGAATGAAGATGAAGATTCAGAAGAGAGAAAGAAGATGGAGGTTAGTGTACGAGGTACCTCTCTTAGTGGTGGTGGTAATGGTATAATGGGAATCAATCAGGTCGAGAGAACAATACAGTACCTATAGAGGCCCCCCCCCCAAAAAAAAAGCGATGTGGGGGAAAATACAACAAAACAGAAATAGGAAAACGGTTAAATGAATGGATCATAGTAAACAATCATGGTCGGGATTGAATCTGAAGAGAAAACTTGCATATCATTTCATTCTTTGAAGCTACCTGAAGGCCATACATATCTCGCCATTTGCTCTTCTACTGTACTCTCCTCAATGATCAGCAATGATGTAGATAGTAATGACAAGCAAGAGGCGAAAACTCGGGTTGGATCGAACCTAGCTGTCACAAATTCAATTAAGGCAAAGTTTCCATATCTTAAGGAGGTCAATACCAAGGGTCCAGTCTACTACCCAATGGCCCATATATCTTGGTTCTTTCCTGTCACTGGATTTGTTCTTCTCTTTCCTTATTTACACTTTTTCCTTTCTTTTTTACTCTTCCTTTATAAGATCCCTTTTGACTATCTACCCAGTTTTAATAAGAGAACGAGGACATAAGAAAAGATCTTATCATAAAATTTCGGCTCATTATTTATTTATTTTGAGTATCATCTTCCAGCAGTCAGGAGACATTGTATTTCCTATTCATAGTAAGGATACCTTACTACTAAGTACTAGGTACTTCTTTGGATGATCCTCTTACCCTTGCCCCTACTAACCTGAGAATAGTCTAGTGAAACCGTATCGGGGGTATTATTACCAACGTAGCAGAAAGTTCATGCGGTACAGAACGTATCCGTCGGTATTGATAATCCCTACGCTGCGACCGGTCCAATAGTTGCCTTCTTTTTGGTTCCAAAAGACCCATAGGAGCTGTTGGCGGGGCTCCGGACAAGACTGAGATTGGACAACAACGGTATCCAGTGTGTGTTATTGTCATTGGTATTGTGAGAGACAGATTAATGTTCAATCTAAGACCACACAACCTGAACGGTAAGGATGTCTCTGAGCGGATGGCGTGGGTTCTGGTCAGATTCCTGGTGGCAGAACTGGACTTCTCTCACTTCAATTAACTCATGATGTTCATGATGATGCAAAAGGGCCCCATCCCGCCCCTCAAACCGAGGAACGGGTGCCCCAACTACACTACTTCCAACACTTAGTGGTGACGATGCAGCTGTAGTTTGGTTTGTTTGGCAAGATTCAGCTCCTGAAGTCTCAGGCTCTAACCACCCGGTCCTGCTTACGGTTGGCTAGGAATACCATTAGTGCATAACTGACTAAGTATACGGTTCTTTCCAGGTGGCTGACTAAGGCAATAAAGTTAGTTAACTAACAGCTCTTTGATTAAACAAAACTCCAAATAAAGATCACGTACTTGTCATTCCACCGGAGAATTACTCGCTTTTCCAAACCCCCTTATTAGTCTATTCACGGAAAACTACTCCAGGGCACTCCTTTGCATCCTTTGTACATCATCAATCTCTTGTTATACAACGGAAATATCTTCCAATCCTTTTCCAGGATCTTCGGATAGCAGACCGGCGACTTTCGAAGTTGGATTGCCCCATTTCGTCGGAGTCACCGAGCTAACCGCTTCGACTACTCTGCCATTGACTGTTAATTTACCTGTGTGAGTTACTGTCATATTAAGTGTAACAATCCAAATTTTCGGATTATCGGTATTTCCGGTTTGCGCTTGGAAAACGAGTTGCGGTTTCTTCTAGTCTTGTTTACAAGCTATGATCTAAAGCTTAGCCCGAACAATTGATTGGACATTTCTTGCAAGTTTTTCTTTTGGAACTCCCATTTACACCATTCATCTTTTTGTTCGCCTTGGAAAGATATTCCTAAACAGCGATCGCTTTTACGACAGTGCCTTGCTACCACGCGCACGGTTGGAGGAATGGGACGTTTAAGTTACCCTCAAGAGTTGGACAGTCCGTCCCGGCAACTAGTGCTAGATCTAGCTAGGGATCTAGAGCAGCTTCGGGTTCACAATACTGAGTTGAAGAAGGTCAAAGCCTATGAACGCCGATCTTTTTACGAAACTCTTGATCGAATCGATAGTGAGCTCGAAGCCCAACATAATGCGGCCCTCGACAAAGTCGCCAAGCTACACGACCAAGTGCTGGAAGAAGCCGAGGAAACTCTGCGGGTACATCAGCGAGAGGTAGAGGAAGAGAACCGCCGCAAGAAAGAAGAAGCCCGCAGAGAAGCGGAACGCATCGAGCGTGAGAAAGCAGAGAAACTACGGCGCGAACAAGAAGAAACTGCGCGACGGGAGGCCGAGCGAAAGGCCGCGGAGGAACTGAGGAAGAAGGCGGAAGCGGAAGCGGAAAGGAAACGACAGGCAGCACAAGAGGAAAAGGAACGGAAAGAACGGGAGCGACTAGAGGAAGAGATTCGAAAGCGTCAAGCAGAGGCGCAGAAGGCAGATCAAAAAGCGGCAAGATTGAGGGCGGAAGCTGCGCAGAAATCACAGCAAGAACAACAGAAGAAGGTCGGGGGGGGCCGTCTAACTGCGGAGGAAATCAAGGTGCAAACACGCTATGTCGAGCTGCACCAGCATCTCAAAAGGTTCAGGCAATACCTGAAGGATGAGGGGAAATCCAACGCTGTAGTCAAACAGAACATGGGTGACCTACGCCGATCGATCAAGAAATGTGTTGGTCAGCTACGAGAAGGAAAGGGAGCCAACAAAGTTCAGGTACGTGTGATCTCTTACTCTCAAGGATAACAAAATGCATAGAGACACTAAGCTGACCGGTTTATTTCTTATAGCTCCAAGAAATCCGTGCGACGCTCGAAAGAGCCGCTTCAATCCCAGAGCCGTCTGTCGATATCCGCCAATTCATGGCCTTTCCGCCAGACGACATCGCCAATCCCGAAGATAACAAAGTCCCGGCTCTATTGGTCTATGCCTTGAATATCTTCTCAAAATCTTTGATTTCGTCCCTAATAACCGAGGCCTCTATCAACTCCGGCCATGCGGAGCCAGTCGGCATTGTAGCCGCGCAAATTTTCTCAACGGAGGCCTTCATTTATAAAGGTTATCATATGGTTGACATTTTGTGGGCCAAGTATCGTGTCGTTTGCCCAGCACTCTGGGGATTCTACGGCAACGAAAAGACCGAGGGCGGTAGACGTGCTTTAGGATGGTGGCGCGAAGCCCCCGAAGGTCCTTTCATCAGCGAACAGGGCCATGCCGACCGAATGACGGCCCTTGGTGCTGGTTTTGCTTCTCTAACCCTGCGCAATTTTGGCAAAACCCCACGGAAGAACCCCTTCCCCAATCACATGTTTTGGTTTGCGATGCATAAGATTTTGACGATCCCCCCGAACGAGATTCAGGAGACCCATGTTATCCTGCTGTCGGCCATGCTTAAATCTTCCGCCGAGAGGATCGTAGGCTTCTTTGGCCATATGGGTTTGGCATTGATGAGAATGGCCATAGTCGACCTTCCCAACAATGTCCCTCGTCAGACTATGGGTGTCAATCAACTGAAACTCCTCAAGGACTTGTACAAACGGGAGAAGAATATAATCATCTGAGCAAGGATGTGACCGAAAGCAGTACCTTTTTCGTCAACGCAAGGGGATTCTGGCTAGGGGCTTATTGCGAGTTGTCAATTTCACCGGTGGACAAATGGAAGTGCGCAATATAAATGTCGCACGATTAATCGATTAATACCGACATAACCCCGAACTCTACCGAATAATCCCCGCCGTACGTCCGGCTTCCAGCCTAAGTGAGGCTGTTGGAAAATCTCATCAAAATGCGGCAAACGAAAAATAGTCGGATCCTCATGTCCAACTAGGCCTTGATTTACAAAGAATCACCGCAAATGGGCATTCTCAAAGGTTAAAAGAAATGAATGATGTGTAACCAGCGCTAAAACCTGCATGGCGCTTGAACAGGATGAGCACTTATCTCCTTTGCACAACGTCAACCATCGGGGTGTTCGCAAGATCCCATAATGACCGTTGCTATAAGGTTATTCTGGTGTAGACGGCCTTCGGATCACGGCATGTTTTTCTTGCTATCGGGAATTATATTGAGCTATCAGCAGTTCCGATAGGCCCACCATCACGCAACTTCGGGACTGCCGAGTCTATCATTCGCCCATCCGTCGATCTAGAATAACTACACATCACTAGTCGACGGTGATACGGATGACGTCTCAACCCTCCTTTGTTATCGTTGAATGAATCACTGAATGAATCATACGTTCGTCTGTCATATGTTGAATCTCCTGGATCTGTACGGTATTTGACTTAGACTTTTATATTCAACGCATTCTCTCCGACGAAAGTAATGCATAGGGGTAGAACAATAATGACCTATACACATTTCACATTTCACCTATCACCATCCCTCACTGCTGAACAGTATCGTTTTCATATCTTCATAAACACGTGATTCTTCTTCAACTACCTCTGTCATTCTTCGCAGGTAATGGCTGCGTATCTCCCTTTAGAGATCATCCAGTCCATCCTCCTCCACGTCGATGTGGAAACCTATATTGCCACACGGCAGACATGTCGCTCCTGGCAATGTGCAGCTTCAGCGCCGTATATGCTGAAGAAAGCTCTACAGCAAGTTCCGGCGTCACTACCCTCTACGATCAACGCCCTATCCCCAGACGAATGGACCAAATACTTCACGCAGATCACCAGATTGAATCTACTACAATATCGACAGGATGTTCGGAAATCGGTGACCCAACGAGACCTACCCCAAGACTGCACACCTACTACCGTGGTGGGCGCTTCCACGGATGGACGGAAGCTAGTGTGCTTGAAAGGAGGGCGGGCGACCGTGTACGAGCGTGTAAACGCGACAAGTCCATGGAAGTACTCCCGGGGTATAACACTATGTTCGCAGTGGACCTCCGTCGCTCGTGCCATGGTAGAAGGGGGAAGCGCAGGCTGCATGTCGATCAATCAACGATACGCAAAACAAAGCATCGCTGTCTCCTCTCAAGGGGACCTCATCGCCATAGGGTTGGGGAAAACAATCCAAATCTACAGTCTCCGTAATGACCAAAGTGACAATCTTCTATCTCCCGCAGAATATGTACTAGGCAAGGATGACTCGTTGACTAGCACTACAAGAGGCCATTACGAGGACACAGACGGCGTCGTAGATTCCCTGGAATTCGCAGATGACGACGCTCTCCTCCGCGTGGCTATCAACAAAGAAACAACCATCCATCAACCTACCCGAGTGCGGTACTTGGGCTTTCCGAGCGTCGTAAACAACCCCGACCTCAACTACTGGAGAGCAAACATCGGTCGGATCTACCTTGATTCAGCAGCTTTATCGGTGGCGCTTGCAGAACAAGACGAATACCGATTAATCTTTAGAGGTCTTCGACTCCTTCCCCCTTCATTCCCCGCAACGCAACAAGAACAGCCACCGCAAGAGGGCCAGCAAGCCTCACCTTCAGCGCAAGGATCCACACGCTACTTCGTCGCATCTCTCCAGTCAGGCGTCATTCACGGATACTGTATCGGCCTCGCAACCCCCATCACATCCGACACCCCCCAAACAGTCAAAATCCACCGACTCCTTCCATCCGCCTACTTTCGCCCTGGAGACGGTATCTCAGGCAGTCGCACAGCAGAACTACCGCCACTAAACCCACCTTTCCCATCCAGCAAGTGCGACGAGCAACACACCAGATATAATCTCCTTGATACCGTCCCTCGGTGGGACGCCTGCAACCTCCCCTCCGCAACCTTCCCTTCCCCCCTCCTCTCCATCTCCCCCGACAACAAAATCCTCGCCCTCTACGAACCAAGCGGCAACTACTCGCCCACCATCGTCTCCGGCGGCTCATTGTACCTATACTGTCTCGAAAACTGCCATCCCATATACCAACCCGGTCCCCAAAGATTCAAACAACCAACCGAGAAAACCTCCCTCCCTCACCAGCGCGCCAATAGCCCAGATGACAAATTCAGCGTCGACACCAGATATCCTCCCCCAGATATTGTTCCATCCTGGCCGTTCCTTCTTGACAAAGTCCCCATTGACCTTGACGGTCTTGAAGTGAAACGGTGCCGACATGAGGAAAATGGAGCTATCAAGAAGACTTGTGCATACACCGTTACCGCGCGTTCAGGCGCACAGGTCTTAGAATGGCGATTGAGCGGCTAGGAGATTCGTTGGATGTTCTGAGATTTCTTCTTTCTCTCCTTAATGTTTTCTTTCTTCTCTTTCTCCTTCTTTATTCAGATAGACGGCCATATTACATTTAATATATTTCATGGGATAGATAGCGGGCAATATCTTAGTCTTTAACAGTTCTTATTAAGAGACAACTGTTAGGCCAGGGCGTTATAATCAAACAAACATAATAATTTTGCAGTAATTTATATATAAATTTTATATTCTCTAGATCCAACTTCCTAACTTTATTCACAAGACAACAATTGTATTAATTACCGTATGTCCAATTAATTAGTAAAGGGTATCTACATACTCTAGCAGCCAAGGCTGGTAGCAAAATGGATCAAATGGAGGGGGAGAAGGGTGAATATGCTTGGAATATGTTCTGTAGGAACGTAACGCGCGCAAGGCAGACATGTTGAGGAAAGGAAAGTGATGAGAGAAATCGGATAACGAGCGAGAGGTCAACCCATTACGAACATTGGAAGCCAAGGAATTGTACAAAAGATTGCCGCAAACTCATACAGGTGGTATTGGTATCAGAGAGGGGGAAGACAGACCAAAATGAACATGAAAGGGATGGAAGTGAAAAGAAAAAAAGATAAAAAGAAAAAAGAGATCGTAATCCCACTGCCATTAGAGAGACAACCATAGCTTAATTGCAAATATACAACGCAAAGCTCAACTCGGATCAGCAAAAAAGAGAGCAAACTCAAAAATGCAGCATAATAATAACATGTAAAAATACTTGCTCTTGAAGTGTTAGCCAAGAGTGGGATCGAGATGATGTCAACAATCTAAGCCATTATTTGTGGTCCAAATGGACCATCTCCTGTCTCTTTGGGCGACGCAGACACGAGACCGTCAGCTGTGCTCTCGTTCTCCTCGGCCCAGGAGCCCTCCCCGTAGTCAGTAGGCTCGGCATCATGGTCATAGCTTGACCTTCGTAGCAGAGGGGGAGTTCTCGGTAGTCCTTGCATACTGCTCGCACGCGAGGATGATTGTCTCGGGGTAGTATCAAAGCTTCTGAGTGGGCGGCTCTCGGACGGTCGCCTCCACGTTCCTGTAGCTGGACCATTGACGTTCGGAGAGGCTTGTCGAGCGTTAGAGCCAGGAGGTGTCAGAAGTCCGGATAGGAAAGCAGATGCTTGACTCGACTTGGACGGGGTTTGTTCAGAAGTGCTTGCATTTGGGTTTTCTCTCCCTCTGCGCCAGCTACCCCATGCAGCAGCGGCAGCAAGAGGAAGAGAGCGCGGCGAGGCGGTCAATTGCGAAAGGGAAGGAAAGCTTGGGAGGCCCTGTCCTGACAGTGCCCTCTCCTTTTCTTGCTGCTGCATCTGCAGATTGGCCTTCAAACGGATGACAGCATCACGCACAGTATTGTGATCGAACGATGGCTGTGACAAAGTCTTGATGATATCCTGTAGATCGTCGATGCGGACTCCAAGAAGCTCACGTAGCCAGTTGATTTCTGTATCCTTCTCTTTGAGCTTGTTCGGCGCATCCTTGTCGACCGACGCAACTTCTTGCTCGAGCTCTTCGATGCGTGCCTCACGCTGCTGTAGCTGGTCCTGCAGGACAAGGATGGACTCACGTAAAGCTTGAGGAGAGATCTTCTCAGGGACCATAGTTCCCTTGCTGAATGACAGAGATGGGGAGGAAGAGTGTGCTGAACTTGACGCGGTGGGAGCTGCCTTGGCTGCTTGTGCGGCTTCAGCCGCAGCACGAGCAGCGGACTGGGCAATCTCGAGCCTCTCTTCCAGATGGTTGACACGATCCTGAAGATGGTTGACCTTATCATCCGACAGTTCCAATCGTTCCGTCAAATGAGACTCTGCTCGCTGCCTATCCTCAGATGCATTGTGCAAGGCGCGAGCATGACGCTCCCGAAGATCGTTGAGTAGGCGCTCATGCAGCCTATGTTGTTCTTCCATAGCAAGCTCATGGGAACTAGCCATTGAGGCCATGGCACTCGCTTTAGTCTCGTTGGCCTCCTCAAGCAGCATTTCGTAGCGTTGTTGTGCCGTGTCACTATCGAGTCGGACATTATCCAATTGACTCTGAAGACGCAGAATTTGTGCTTCTAATTCAGCACGGACAATGTTGACCTGGCTATTCGCAGCCTCGACATCAGCCTCCAGCGAAGATCTGGTACGCTGTATCTCAACCCTACTGCTCTCCCGTGCCTCGTTAAATTCACGCTCGAAGCGAGATGCCCTAAGTTCTAGGTCGTGATTCTCAATCCTGAGATTTGCCACCAGCTCTTCTAGCCTGGCGTTCTCTTGTTGAGATTGCCCAAAGATAAATTTCAACTTCGCTGCTTCCCGCTCCTGCTGCTCAAGTTCACTAATATCGACCTCGAGCTTCTCACGAAGCTTCACCTCTCGGTTGTAAGCTGCCTGAAGTTCATTATACCTAGCCACGTGCTCCTCTTCCCGTCTGCGCCAGGAGGCTTGGTCGCGAGTAATGTCCCGGGTCACCGTCGCCACCTCATCTTGAAGACGATTAAATCTCTCGCTTAGATTCTGGCGTACACTCAATCCGTCTTCAATCCGCGATTTCATACTGTCGATAGTTACGCGTAGATTCTTGTTTTCAGCTTTGACTCCTTGGAGCTCGGCCTTCGACTGTTCACTTTCCTGTTTCCAGTGGTCGCTAGAATACCTGTATTCATCCAAGGTACCTTCGAGGGTGATATTCTTCGAAGAGATTTCGGCTAGAGTCAGCTTGAGTTTTGCATGTTCTTGCTCAAGTGTTTCAGCCCTGGACTGGACCTGTTCAAAGTAAGGGATCTTCTCTTCCTTAAACTGGAGCAGACGGGTTTCAGCAGATTCGGCCGCTTCGCTATGCCGAGCAGAAACATCCTGAGCAACCTTCAAGAGCCGTTGGAACTCTACAACAGAGTCCTGCGCCTCTCTACGCTTTCTGTATTCCTCTTCAGCCCGCTCATCGCTCACCCTTAGCATCTCCTTCAGGCCACTGATCTGAAGCATAAGGCTATCGGCGCCGATTTCATCAGCTTCGGAGGGGCGAGCTTTTTGTTGGGTAAATTGAGCTGAGACAACTTCTTCAATCATGTCTCGCAAATCACTCGTAGAGTCTTGCGCAAGCTTTTGAAGGGTCACAGCCTGCAGATCTGTAATACTTTGCTGGAGCTGCGTAATTTCGGAAGTGGCCGGTTTCTCTATTTCTTGTGGGATATCACGACTTGCTAAAGCTTCGAGGATCACGCTCTTTAACTTGTCAAGCTTCCGATCTCTCTGGCGAATGGGCGACTTCTCTCTGTAGGATGCATCCTCATCATATTCTTCTTCATCGTCAGCATCGCTTTCCTCACCCTCCACAGAGGCGCTCCATGACCATTTATTCTGTGACCCCAAGGTCATAGCAGATACGGAATTCTCTATAGCTATCAATGCACGCTCAAGAGGAGAGAGACGCTCTTCAACAACAGAGCCGACAAGATCATGAATGCGGCGGTCAAAGAATCTGCTTCGATTTGCCAACTTCTCATCTTCGCCAGATGAAATAACATCATCCCAGTCACTGATATGGTCGTTTCGGCTAACCAACTGTCGGATGGGTGAGTGAATAGCGGAGGCAAAATTCTTCGAGGGCGTAACCGAGAACTGGGATTGGGCGTCGAAATCAAGTTTTGGTACGGTTAATGCTTGGGAGATAGGTCCCCTTCCTGGACTGGGACTTGGAGCTTCACTCCTGATCTCTGCGGGGGCGTGCCGTTTTTCTTTTGACGGCCCTAAAACGGATTCTGGGAAACGGTTCGCAGGGTGGGGAGTGCTTAATCTTTCAATTCCAACATCAGAGTCTCCATTTAACTGTTCCATTATAGCATTCAGCTCTTCGTCATCAGGGGAATCCTGATCGGAATCACGTTCCAAGTCTTGTTCCGGCTGGAAATCATTGGTTCTAGGTGTATCATCCGCCGGGGCGTTTCGTAATTGAGTCGACTCAAAGTCTTCCTGGGGTGGAGCAACTGCAGATTGCGAAGCCATGGTGTCATCTTTCTCAATTGTACTTTCAGGGGTAATTTTTGGCTCTTCGACCGCGAAAGGTACAAACTCAGTCACGGATGGTTTGAATTCGAACAGCTTAGCACCCGGTGAAAGCACCGAGCCATTCAATCGAGTATCGGCCCGCTCCTCCATGGGTTGCTCTTGCTCTTTAGGACTAATAGAAGTGGCAGTTGCCTCATCCACTAGTGATCGCTTCAAGTCAGATTTCTCATTACCAACTGCTTCTGGCTCGCTTGCCGCTACCTGTCCTTCTTCTGGCCATTCTGCACGTTTGATGGCATTCTCGTCTTTAGTATCAGAAGGCGTCCAGGTTGATGCTTCACTGACAGGAGTGTCCTTTCGCTCTTGTGATTTTCTGTCTGGGGCTGGAAGAGCTTCTGGTCCCACCAAGGTGGCATCAGCTTTGCCAGGCAAAGCGTTTTCTTTACCTCCGGCAGGCACATGAGTTGCATTCGATCCTTGTGCTGCCTGAGCATTAATGTTTTCTGTCAGAGCATGCGAATCACTGATTTGAGCTTCTCCATCAGGACCTTCAAGGCTACGGCGGGCACGTTTGTGACGATCTGTTGGAGCGGATCGGCTATTGTCATTCTCAGCTTCCTCATCCTTGTGTTTCTTCCCTTCGTTGTCATCTGGGCGTACGATGGGAATAGCTTTCGACTTTTTAGAGCCTTTCTGTGCTTGACACATATCCACATCATCAAAGATCTTGGTTCTGCCGCCTTCAGATTGGTCAGGGCCGGTCGAATAATAGTTTTGGGTTGGATTGAAAACTGGCGCTGCGACATTGAAAGAACCTGGCGTGAAGGAAGGAGCAGACACATTGAAGGAATCTGTTGGCTGTTTGAAGCCTGCATTAGAGCCAAAGGTAAACATAGGATGGTCCGGTGTTGGGAATTGGAAGGAATTGTTTTGGAACGGGAAAGCGTGCGAAGGATTTGATGCGGTCGGATCAAATGCCTTCGCATCAACGTTCAAAGTAGAGGATGAAAGCTTCGAACGGTGCCCACCACCGTATGATCCAGCACTAGGCTTCGGTTCATGCCAAGGTATGTGGTTTGCAAGTCCATGAGGTGTACCTGAAAGACTGGGGTTGGTATCGATATCCGAGCCCTCGTGGGCATTATCTCCCGGATATGCTCCGCCATAATATTGATGTACATGTTGAGGAAGGTGTTGGATATCATGGTTGCTATTCTCTGGCAAGGCCCACCGAGACTGCAGTATATCTGAGCTATTGAAAGTATGAGTAGGTTCGCGGTCGCCTTCGTCTAGTTGTCTATTTATCGACTCCTCCAGATGGTAATCAGACTGTGTAAATTGATCGAGTCCTTTCTGGAGTGTCTCGCTCAAATTGTGGCCACGACTATGACCACGAGGCGTGGGGTGGGCAATTTCAACAGTCGAAGCATGGAAGTTATCCAGGTTTTCGGTAGGGGTGTGTATAGGACGTAAAAGCTGACCTTCTGTCGTGTTGTCTTGCATATCGTGACCCATATGATTGTTAAAAGGTACTTTCGGCAGGCCGGATTGTTCGTTCAGGCCAGGGTGGAAAGCATTCTGGTCATTCAACGGAGAAACCGGGGACAAGATAGAGGTTAAGTTCGGAAGTGTGCCAGCAAGGGTTGGCGGTGCGCCCGCTTGACGAGCATTGAAGAAACTCTGGGGGGTTAGGGATCCCTGTGCAGGAGGCGTCGGTTGAAACGGGATATGATACCCTGGGAGAAGGTTCTGATCCACGCCCAGGAAAGGGGTTTGGACTCCGAACTGCGACGCAGGAGAAGCTAAAGAGCCCATTCCGTTTCGGGCATTTGTGGACTGGCTCAGCTGGGGCGAGAATGGGTGAGATAACGACAATGGGTTACTAGCCGCAGACGCTGTCGGGATTGGTGGTGAGGAAACAAGACCAGGGAACGGTGCCATTTGGCTCATGGCGGCCGATGCAGGCGATACTGACGGTTGCACATCGTCATCAAAGGATACACCCAGAGCTCGTAGCTTCTCTTCCTGAAGGAAATTCACATATGCATCCCATACGGCTTTATTCGGGAAGCAAACGGTATAACTTCGAGAATCCCATTCCTCCTGCACGCCGGCAGCATCGGGCCAGGTGGGACGGCTTAGACCTCCCAATTCCGTATTCCAAGGATCCTCTGATGCACCGACACTAAAACCTCGAATATCATAGCCTTGCTCTTCCCATGCTTTTAGGCGCTTGTTGACGTCTTCAACAGTCAATAAGCGGTACCCAGATTCTTTGCTGCCTCGCTTATCTTCCGGTGGAAGCGCGATCATGCATGCTTTTCCACGCCACGCGATTTTCTTTCTTGTTCTTTGTGAAGGTTTATCTGAAACCGGTGTCTTCATGGCTCTAGGTTCTGGGTTTGCCATGCTCCCCAAAGCCAAAGAATCCTCGTTCAGAGTATCTGCTGGGGGAGGAGGCAGCGGCTTCTCGACTGAAATCGGTGCCTTAAGCCCCGGTTCAGCGGAAAGCTGCGTCTCCTTTGTGTCCGTCATGGTGATGGGCTGAGGATCTTTGTCGTATGCGAAACCCCAAAAGTCCTCCTGTCGCAATGTTTCCGCTCTCTTGTGCAGATATTCTTTAGTCCTCTGACGAGCTGCGTTGCCTTCTCCGTTGCCAGATCCCGCCCTTCGGTTCACAAAGTCGGCCAATGTCGGAGTTCTAAGTAAATCGTCTTCACGCTTGTCGTGTTCTAAACCGAGCCAGTCGTCAGAGAGATCGTCTGCAAAGTGATTTTGAGCCGTAAAGAAGGATGGAGCCTCGCTACCCGAGTCGTCGCTCAGCCAATTGCTGCGTTCAGTCCTCGGCTGCCCTGAAAGGTATTGATTGATCCAATCCTGCGTGAAATCTTTGATAGATTTTCCTCCTCTTCTACCAAATATGTCTCTTCCTGGCGAACGGTTGCGGATACTGCCGTGCAGCTGTGTAGTCGAACGTTCGGGAGCAGATGTAAGGACTACTTCCGGGTTATTTGTTTCAGACCCGTGGTATATCCCACTGCGCATCGAGGTCGGAGAGCTAACCCCAGAGCCTCGATCAATACCAGCGTGCTGACTTAATGACCACGAGAGTCTCCGAGGGCTGGGTGCAGCATACGGGGAGCCCCAGGCAGTCGTATAGTAGATGCTACTTTCAGCTTTCCGATTTTCCGGGGACGAAGTAGACGAATCCCAAGCACCCCGATATTTCGGCAGAGTGGGGAGTGTGGTCGGCGGATTCGAGGTCAAACTAGTCCCTCGGAAGGAGGTCTGGCGGCCAGGAGAACCAGCGGTCGAGAGACTCGACGCACCTGGCGATGTGAAGGATGATGTCAATGGAGCAGCCAAGAGGCAATCGTCACGCAGGCGGGAGGAATCTGTGGAATGCAGCGGCGGAGAATGCGCCGAATTGGCGGAAGATACGGAGGAGTCTGGACCTGGAGGCATGAAACATTTGAGAATTTAGTCCCTGATTCAGTAATATTGGTAATGAAGGGAAAGGACAGCAAGAGGAGATTGGAATCGTCCATAAGAACGATTTTAAGGTCAAATAGATGCAGCCAAGTTGACACATGCACACACACCTTCCGTGTCGACTCCCGCAGCAAGCACTTGCTTGCTGCTCTCCTTATCGCCCAGAATGTTGAAGCATGGAAATTAAACCACCGAGATCGAGTCCACCTCGCAAGTTACCTCCGATCGGTACAGGTAAGAGGAAGACGAGGTGTGAAGGCGGAACCGCGACTTTTCTTCGAGTCGGGCGTGGTTTGGGAGCAACTTCTTCAGGGGTTGAAGAGAGAGAAGGCGGGGGAGAAAAAAAGAGAGAACAAAAACGCAGACGATAAAGGGAAGAAAGAATGAACAACAGATCACAGGAACCTAGGGTATGCGAAAATATTGGACATGGCGCATACACGAAGGACTGAGCTGGATCAAGGTTGGACAATGAGAGAGAATGAAAGCGGAACTAGGGGGAGGGTGAGAGATGATAGTCAGTGCTCTCAATCCTCTTCTCTTTTTTTTAGTTAGTTCTAATTATCAGACTCAGACCATGACACGATCAGCCAAAGGACCTCACTAAACTCCCCAAGTTCAGACTAAAGATGACCGAGGAAGAATATCATAGGCGGAGGAACCTCAAAAAGCCGGGCCGTTGGGGAAAGTATTTTACACTTTACAGTCTGAGTATACCGGAGGCAGAGACTAGTCTACTTAGCACTTTTTTGACTTGACCGCCATCTACAATACTGTATGTACATACCAAGCCTACCTATCTGATGCACATACCAGTGATCGGTATGTGGTCCTACCTAGACACTTACTATCCCTGGCAGGTGTTTCATTCTCTACAGACACTAGTATTGCTAGATAAAGTGGTGGTCCATGTACAAAGGATGATTATCCTGTGGAAACACTGGAGTCCGGACCTTACCGCTGTTAGTTGCTTCACTATTGCTTACAGCTGTATGTGGTGCATCGTTCTGGAACATACAGAGCACTATTACAGGACGCAGCGACCGTCAGCAGAGTCAATAGGCCAGCCCCTGAGTGATGTTCGCACACAATAAACAAATAAACACTTCTCTTTGGTTCGTGTCGTCCCTTCAGGGGTAAATATACCACCAAAACCACGGTTCCCCTGGTCAAGTCATTACCACACATACTGTACTATACCTAATACAGATACCTAGTTGGTAACATTCACCGTATTGTGCAACTACTCCATAACGTAATCGGTAAACGAGCTGCGCACGCAAACGGGCTGCGCACCAACCGCCATATTGAAAATTAAAATAGTCAAAACACCATGAATTCAGAC